AAAAAAAAAAAAATATAAATAAATATATAAATATATATAAAAATATATATATATAAATATATATATATATAAATATATATTTTTTTTTTTTTTTTTTTTTTTTTTAGCCTTTATGACATCACCTAGTAACAAATAAACAAAAACCCCTGAAGAAAAAATGAAACCGGTCGGGGCAAAAAAGCTGATTTTCTTTTTTTCTTTTTATTATATATAATATATACTCGTACAGGAAAAACACTTTATATATATATATATATATATATATATATATATATATATATATATATAAAGTGTTTTTATATATATATATATATATAAGCACAGTCGTTAAAACTCACAAATATTGTTTTGTGTTTCAGTCAGCATTAGACAGATAGCGGCGTATGTGGATGTCCCCGTAGTCAACTGCAGCCAACATATCATTTATGAATGCCACGGGTCTATCATTAGCACCCATGCTGCCTGGTATGATCGACGCGGACAGCAAGCGCCATTTTGGGCGGGCGGAGATCCATTTGGTGACCCAAATAACTGCGCATGCTCCAAAAACGACTCCTGTGAAATCGATACAAAAGGTAAGTAACACATAAGTAAACCGACATCTACAGCTGTACTTGAATTGCAATATTTTGTAAAACAAAATAATCAAATGTAGTCATTGATCCAATTAAGTTTGTAAGAAACGGTGACATACAGGTACATGTATACATTAGAACCAGAGTATATCTTTCAGTTTGCAACTGTGACAGAAACACAGGGCCATGGACGTCGGACGGGGGTGACATCACAGAGCCAGGTTATCTCCCTGTCACCGGGGTTGCGTTTGGAGACACAGGAGGTGCATATGAAGAAGGTTACCATACCATCGGACCGCTCGTGTGCCACGGATAGATATATGGATATATAGGCCTATACTTTTACCCCCTTGCTCTGGAGTAACTTTCGTGAACATATTAAACGTAGACTTCAAACCGTCTAGTGTAACTTAAATTGTGAACCATTAGGAATGATGTCATCAGTGGGGTGCCAGCTCCGCAGCTGTCTCCATTGTGCTGTGCGACCGGCAACTATTGTTATTGAAAACGAAGCAGGTTATATTTTATTTGAAAAAAATATATGTTGTGTTGCATTACCAGTTTTATTATCTACAATATTTTATAATACACCCTGTAGGAAACAAACGTCCTATGGGATTTTGGGCTAATTTCCTATAAAACACTGTACAGGATCAATAGAAAAATTCTACTACTCAGTCCATCTGGATTTAGTGGTATTTTCGGTAATTTTCTTTAAAAAGTCGTCGTATTATATTGTCATCTTATAAATCGCATACAATTTACACAAATAGTTTTACGTGTATATAAATAGTTTATTAATGATTCCTTGAGGTAGACATTTATCTACAAGTTCACTCAAAAAGCCTTTAAGTATAAAACGATAAAGCCAGCAGTTACATTTAACCTCAACATACATCCGAGATTTATAAAGTCTTTAATTTTGTTAAAAGACTTTGTAAGTCCCGGATGTACTTAACTTCTTTGAAAATTATCTGATTTGGTAGCTCTCTTAAAATGCTTTCTAACGGTCCCATTACAACCTTTTCCTGCCGAACATCTCTGCTCTACTCAAAATCTAAAGCAAATGGTAAATCTTTTAGTTCCTCTCCAAGACGTTTTTCAAACTCCAGATTTTGCTCTGTCGTGAAAAAATTCTTCCAGTTCCCTACAGTACCTAATAAAATAAAGAATTCTGAAGTTGCATGAAGAATAGAATTAGATTCCATAATAACTGATACAAGATAGATTGCAAACATGTATTTTTTCGTAATCATTTTCATACGTTTCAATATGAAAATATGTGATGTAAAAGAGATGCATCAGGCAATAAAGATATGACACAATGTACAAGTTTGTGAGTCGTGCCATGGATATTTTGGTAGCATGTACACGTATGTTTTTCAGTTTAAAAAATAGCTTCAGAATGATAAATATTATGTTTTTTTATGGATATAACACGTGAAAGCAGTAATATTTTCCAATTTTTGAACTTTTTTAAACTTACCGTTTCGGTAAAACAATTCATACTTTTGTCTTTTTCTGACCTTATGTTTCTTCATGTTAGCAAAAGAACATTTAATGGCTAAACTCTGGTAAAACGATTCTTCACGTTTGAATCCGATAAACTGAGCTATTTTCCGAACTTCAGATAAAGGTTCCTGAAATATTTAATGATAATGCATGTATTAGCCTTATGGTCCTTACTAAAAGTTAAATCACTGAACAAACCAAAATACATAAAAAAATTTTGGTGATCACATCAGTGGTGTTACGTTTTCAATAACTTTTTTGAGCTTTTTTGTGCTTTCAACTCAAATCAAACCACATTATTTTGATTCGCGCACTTTTAATACATCTTCGGTATAATTATATTACGTTTAAACAGAAAGTCCTGGTTTTACTGTTTATGTGATTCTTAATTGCAAGGAAACATCAGCAATACATAACGGGCCCACTTTATAGATCCACATTTAATGACATATCAATGAATCGTCATCACATCGTAACTAAGGTCGATGAACCACTGTTACAACTGAACGACAGAATGAAGCCCAACAAAGATGCATGTAAAACTACTGACGTTATACCTGTCATTTGGAAATTACTACGAGTCGTAACTAACGACACCCGCCCGTTTACGTACCTTCACAAGGTTCTCATACTTCACGATAAGAAAGTTTGGTTTATCTTTCATGACAGCTAACCAGTCTTTTACGTGATCAATCCACCTACCATAGCCCGCTGCAAAAATATCAAACATAATAATAAGGTGTACATTGTGTTACGTCATCTACAATATCTGAAAAAGAGAGCTTGTGAGTTTCAGAGAGAGAGAGAGAGAAAGAGAGAGTGAGAGGGAGAGAGAGAGAGAGTTAGTTGGGGTTGGGTCGCCATGCATGAACTTACCATGACCGCGGTAAACCAACTCCAGAAAGTCTTCAAACGCTCCTTTAAACCCACTTAAATTCTTCCTGTGAAAGTAATAAGACACGAAGACGTCTTTGGGGTTCCGTATGAGATATAAAAACTTGGAAACGTTTCTGGCTTCTGTGGAGAAGAATCTGGAAATACGAACGATATGAATATAGTGGAAATTCTGCACCAAAATACCTGATACCTGATAAAATCTTTTCAATTCGTTGCTTATAGTACTACAACAGTGACTGAAATGTTTTAAACTACCAAAAGTAAAATCATTATAAGTTTGTTCCTCTACGCTAAACACGTGATTCAATAAACGATTTGTGAATAAAAAACGTCAGAGATGGCTTTTTGTTACTTCTTTCATTTAAGCTTTCTTAACAAATGTGTCAATACCCACGTCTAGCGGTCATCGGTCATACGGAAAAAAACATTGAAATACAATCACCTTGGAGGCACGTGCGTATTCAGAACACGCGGTGACGCCATATTGTCCACGTGATCGGGTAGCACCAACTCTGGGCACATGGCTCTCTCCTTTTCCTTTGGGTTCATCTTGAGGGTGTTCCTAACTAGCATTGATACTATTTCCCAGAGAAAATGTGTTCCTGTATTCAGTACAGAGAAAAAACAGAAAAATTATCATTGCATTGCAGTTAATTGAAAATTCTAGCAGACTTCGTTTCATCATTTTTGGCTAAAACATGAAACAATAGGCGCGTTGAGCAAGTTCATTGTGACATTTTCTCTCATTTGATGTATTAAAACAATAAAAACAAAACAAATAAAAGGATACTTTAAAGTATTATCAGTAAGGGTAATAACCAACCATATTGTTCGGCCCGTGATGAGGACATATCGAGACAGGGCACTTTGACAGGTTTCTCGATTGCGCGAATGATGCAGCTTTAAGCAGGTACAATTATTTCTAGCCACTACTACATATTGCCCGGCCTGTGTTAGGACAGTTGCCATACACATACTTGCATGGTGCCATTTGGAAAATTTATCTAAAAAATATACGAAACCCCTCTTTGATCTATGTTTTCATAAACTAGCGCTGTACTTTGTAGCCGTTTTAGAGTAATTACCTGATCATGTCGACAGCCAAGCCTTACTAAACATACATACATATCCGCTTACTAGCACTTCAAGATAAAAATGGCCGGACAGCTTAGTTCCCTTTGCGCATTTACGTCACGATTGTGTCAGGTTGTACAACACAATCGGAGTATCCGGAAAGGTATATAAGCTTATTGCACATGCATCCCCTTTGAAAGCATACGCCCCTTGTAAGCGAAATACAAATGCGATTGTCCTATGGCTGAAAGTGCAGGAGTGACAGAAATGGTAGTCATAGGAATGAAAGTCCGGGGTTCATAATAATGAGTACAGGTTAGGGTCAGTGGGAGAATAGTGGTTACTATATGGGATGAATGGTACCTTTGCAAAGTAATGTACAGCGGACTACGGTTCCTAGCGGACTAACATATATCCTGTCACACAGGCCATGCGGCAAGACAGGGTATAATGATCAATTGACACTTGTACATTTCTACTTCTTCTAACAATATTTACCAAATAGATACTACAATATAATCTGAAAAGCACATGGTGAAAGCCAATTGTTTTCAGCTTTCGCCATTTTATATCAAGACAACCTCGACCTCCAAGCAAGGTAATAACATGATTCATAAAAAGGTACAGTGTTATTTTTTCTTTCTTTTTAGCTTTCGACATCAATAATATAAGTAATGCTAATGATATGCAGGCTCGTTGCCTGAGGCTGGGTAGCACAATTTCCCTGTTAAGTGTGGTTCACCTGTTGTTGCCCTTATGACCAGTGCGTGGGCACGGCTGTAACTAGGTAGATGACAGCTATTAGATACGGTAGCTGCTAACCAAAGAACTATGTTTAAGTTGCTAGTCTTAGTAAGTGGAGACATGTCAGGATTTTTTTAATCAGAACGGTGTAGTCGTGTCATTATCTTTATGAAATAAGTTATCACAATTCAGCGAAAGGGGGCAACTCAAACTTAACACAGAAAAGGTCGCTGAAGTTTTTGCTTTCGAAGTCTTTCTTNGTTCACTGGAGTTTGTGCTAACCTTTAGATAGCTATTTCAATCGTATTAAAAGGGCTTTTTGTTTAAGAGAAATTCTTGATTAAAAAAAAGACAATTTTAGCCTCAAAACGCTGATATTATGTCACTCGTGTTATACTGTGACTACAAACTTTGAAAAATTGTTTGGCTTGCTAGACCTTATCTTTAAGTTAATAGGAAATTTCATTAGCTGCATTAGTTTTGGACTTTTTCGTTAATATCCTAGATCCCTTAATTGCAAGGAAACATCAGCAATACATAACGGGCCAACTTTATAGATCCACATTTAATGACATATCAATGAATCGTCATCACATCGTAACTAAGGTCGATGAGCCACTGTTACAACTGAAGGACAGAATGAAACTCAACAAAGATGCATGTAAAACTACTGACGTTATACCTGTCATTTAGAAATTACTACGAGTCGTAGCTAACGACACCCGCCCGTTTACGTACCTTCACAAGGTTCTCATACTTCACGATAAGAAAGTTTGGTTTATCTTTCATGACAGCTAACCAGTCTTTTACGTGATCAATCCACCTACCATAGCCCGCTGCAAAAATATCAAACATATTAAGGTGTACATTGTGTTACGTCATCTACAATATCTGAAAAAGAGAGCTTGTGAGTTTCAGAGAGAGAGAGAAAAAGAGAGAGTGAGAGAGAGAGAGAGAGAGTTAGTTGGGGTTGGGTCGCCATGCATGAACTTACCATGACCGCGGTAAACCAACTCCAGAAAGTCTTCAAACGCTCCTTTAAACCCACTTAAATTCTTCCTGTGAAAGTAATAAGACACGAAGACGTCTTTGGGGTTCCGTATGAGATATAAAAACTTGGAAACGTTTCTGGCTTCTGTGGAGAAGAATCTGGAAATACGAACGATATGAATATAGTGGGAATTCTGCACCAAAAAACCTGATAGAGTCTTTTCAATTCGTTGCTTATAGTACTACAACAGTGACTGAAATGTTTTAAACTACCAAAAGTAAAACCATTATAAGTTTGTTCCTCTACGCTAAACACGTGATTCAATAAACGATTTGTGAATGAAAAAAAACGTCAGAGATGGCTCTTTGTTACTTCTTTCATTTAAGCTTTCTTAACAAATGTGTCAATACCCACGTCTAGCGGTCATCGGTCATACGGAAAAAAACATTGAAATACAATCACCTTGGAGGCACGTGCGTATTCAGAACACGCGGTGACGCCATGTTGTCCACGTGATCGGGTAGCACCAACTCTGGGCACATGGCTCTCTCCTTCTCCGTTGGGTTCATCTTGAGGGTGTTTCTAACTAGCATTGATACTATTTCCCAGAGAAAATGTGTTCCTGTATTCAGTACAGAGAAAAAACAGAAAAGAATAATTGCATTGCAGCTAATTGAAAATTCTAGCAGACTTCGTTTCATCATTTTTTGCTAAAACATGAAACAATAGGCGCGTTGAGCAAGTTCATTGTGACATTTTCTCTCATTTGATGTATTAAAACAATAAAAACAAAACAAATAAAAGGATACTTTAAAGTATTATCAATAAGGGTAATAACCAACCATAATGTTCGGCCCGTGATAAGGACATATCGAGACAGGGCACTTTGACAGGTTTCTCGATTGCGCGAATGATGCACATACTTGCATGGTGCCATTTGGAAAATTTATCCAAAAAATATACGAAACCCCTCTTTGATCTATATTTTCATAAACTAGCGTTGTACTTTGTAGCCGTTTTAGAGTAATTACCTGATCATGTCGACAGCCAAGCATATCATATCCGCTTACCAGCACTTCAAGCTAAAAATGGCCGGACAGCTTAGTTCCCTTGGCGCATTTACGTCACGATTGTGTCAGGTTGTACAACACAATCGGAGTATCCGGAAAGGTATATAAGCTTATTGCACATGCATCCCCTTTGAAAGCATACGCCCCTTGTAAGCGAAATACAAATGCGATTGTCCTATGGCTGAAAGTGCAGGAGTGACAGAAATGGTAGTCCTAGGAATGAAAGTCCGGGGTTCATAATAATGAGTACAGGTTAGGGTCAGTGGGAGAATAGTGGTTACTATATGGGATGAATGGTACCTGTGCAAAGTAATGTACAGCGGACTACGGTTCCTAGCGGACTGAAATATATCCTGTCACACAGGCCATGCGGCAAGACAGGGTATAATGATCAATTGACACTTGTACATTTCTACTTCTTCTAACAATATTTACCAAATAGATACTACAATATAATCTGAAAAGCACATGGTGAAAGCCAATTGTTTTCAGCTTTCGCCATTTTATATCAAGACAACCTCGACCTCCAAGCAAGGTAATAACATGATTCATAAAAAGGTACAGTGTTATTTTTTCTTTCTTTTTAGCTTTCGACATCAATAATATAAGTAATGCTAATGATATGCAGGCTCGTTGCCTGAGGCTGGGTAGCACAATTTCCCTGTTAAGTGTGGTTCACCTGTTGTTGCCCTTATGACCAGTGCGTGGGCACGGCTGAAACTAGGTAGATGACAGCTATTAGATACGGTAGCTGCTAACCAAAGAACTATGTTTAAGTTGCTAGTCTTAGTAAGTGGAGACATGTCAGGATTTTTTTAATCAGAACGGTGTAGTCGTTTCATTATCTTTATGAAATAAGTTAACACAATTCAGCGAAAGGGGGCAACTCAAACTTAACACAGAAAAGGTCGCTGAAGTTTTTGCTTTCGAAGTCTTTCGTTTTAGTCGTTTTGCATTGTTTGCAGAACCACGGCTATCGACATTTACTTCTAGAAAACCCAGCGTGTGAGAGTCGGACACGCAAATATTGCGTTGCGTTTGCTAAGGCTTTGAGTTAGCAGGTGAAAACGTGATCGCAAATAGCTATGGATAGCTTTGCTTGCAAGCGGTCGCTATTTGCGATGCTTTCGAGTTATAGAGCCCAAGCCTGGATACGCCTCACCTGATTTGGGATAGTTGATCAACCACACGTCATCCACTCTGGCTTCTGGGGGCTTGCGCAGATAGGCATTCATGTGGACGATAATATCCTTGTATTCGACGGGGAAAGTGAAGTTGCGATATTTGACCAGTCTTTGTCCAAAACCTCGAGAACTTTTATATTCGACAACTTCTCTCCTTGGTCTATGGAGATAGCCCGATATAGGCATTTTCGGCAGCTCTGGATATAGCTGAGAAAAGAGTAGACAAGTGAGCGTGGCTAATGCAGGAATCCATAGTAGTCGCCTGTGCAACTGCATTGCAATACTTCCTTCCTCGTGCTTGGAGTCCACTTAACCTTGCTTCAGCTTATGGCACTGTCATCCAACCGAAGTTTTGCTTGTTTTAGATAAAGTAGGATGCGGGAACGACCTGCTTTTTATTATACATGCATGACTCGTGGTTGATAACTGAGGAGACTGGACCCTGACCTTCACCTTGAATTGAGCTTGACATCTGGCGGTGGTATATTCATTATCCACGGTGAGTTAACAAATGACGATCTGCGTTAAGCGTTCGTGTGTCATGTGGGTTAAGAAGTAAGTACCGTTTTTGAATTATACTTTATTCTATTACATGTAGATAGAATTTTTTCACGAATACAATTTGCTTGGGTCTTTTTTAGTTTCATCATAATTGATCGTCATGAAATATTGATGTTAAACTAAAATTAAATAAATTAGTTTTTAAAACTGCGTCGTTTTGCTGCGTAAGTTGTTTTTTATAAATTTAATTAATATGTTGAAATAATTAAAATGGAATTAAGATTCCACATTATTTTGAGGAATTGTGACCAGCAATATGCTGTGGATTTATTTTTGAACGTCCCACTCAATACTACAACTATTTGCATGTGGAGATGAAAAGATCCAGATTTATTTTCCGCATGGATATGATCCACCACACCTGGGTCTTCTGATCTAGGTATCACGGTGCTATTTACACTTCCTTTATCTTTTATCTGGTCAAGCTTGAATATTTTATGCTAGAGGGTTTCTTATTTATAAATTGTCATTATTTCCTTTTTGTAGCAATAGAAGCACTTAACGCAAGAGAGACTTTGAAGAGCAGACCACTGAACCTTAAAGTTTGTGTACAGAGGCCACAGAAGTACCTATGATTAGTTGCTAAAGGCCATGTCACACCTAGCGTAAAGAGATGTGTAGGGATATTGTAGGTGAAATCGATTATATGCACATATCTGAGCGTATAAAACCACCCTTTTTCTGGAGAGTGAAAAGGCACATATAAAGCAGCATGACCAATGTGTCAAAAAAGGAATATTTAGTGTTTTGTTATTTGTGCCATGCTGAATTATATGTTATTTTATCTATGGATGAATACGAGTGCTAGAGGTTAGAGGTTTAAACGTCCACAAACCGGTGAGAAATTGTGCCACTTGAACGGTGCTGCAAAGGGTGAAGTTGATCCAGAATTTGTTTTTGCACAAAAGTTAGATTGCATTTGTGCGGCTGAATGTTTTATAAAAGAAAGCAACTTTTTGTTTCATTAACTCGTGTACTTTATGAGCACTAACGTAGGACATAGAAAATAACCGTTGTTGTTTGACAACGAAATGTATTTCGTAAGACACTGATTTTTTCAATTTCCTTTCAGAGAGAAACGTTACTGGGTTTGACACCATGAGTCTGGGGGCATGCTGCACGATGGCTCTCACACACCTTACAGATCAAGATGATACACTTAAATACCCTGTTATCATTTGCAGATAAACTCCTCTGTTATCTTATGTCGGCGCCGACAACGCTCTCATCGAACAACGTGAATTGAAGTACAATAAGGGGACCAAACCACAGTCTACTGTACATATCTGGACCCAAGAATGACCTGGTGTTGCCATGGCTTTTTGAATGGCACTTATTCTCGGAAAACAAGGTCGATCAAATGCATTGTATGTAATTAGTTTCAATATGATTACTTTATTTGTCCCCAAGTAGAACGACCTGATGTTATTTTGGCAGAGTCAATGGCTTTTTATCTCCGAAAAGAAGATCGATGACATGTATTGTATGTAATTAGTTCACATACAATTACTTAGAAGTGACCACTAATGTATATATCTCATATAAACGTCCAAAGCACCACAAAGTCCACTACAGAAACAGAAAATAACATGGGTTTGATAAAAGGAGACAGTGATCAGTTAAAACTTTTATTTTTGGGAGATTCCAAATTGTCAGATTGGTTAAACGCGTATCAAATCAAAGTATGTCCTAAAAAAATTAATCATACAAAGATATATTGAATGAATACCCAGTCCGGAAGGCGTGAAGGAGATCCAACAAGCTAGAGCACCCCCATGGTGAAGTACTGACCTTTCTGTATTCAAAACGGGAAGGTTGAAGGTTCCGAAACAAAACCATGTGGCGATTAAACAGCACGGCATGGATTGGCATTTGTCTTATATTATGTGCTGTTGTACTTATACACCGTGCGGTAAATTTAAGGGCCTATTGTGAAACACGTGGTCACAGGAATGCAATACAAATGCCAAAAACTCCACAAATTGCAGAGAAATTGCGCAAGTTGAATACTGCTGCCAAGAATGAAGGTGATCTTTTTTCAATTTCGATATTGGTTTAAAGGGCCCCGTTTTCACAAAAAAAAAAAAAAATATATATATATATATATATAATAATAATAATAATAATAATAATAATAATAATAATAATAATAATTAATTCAGGTTCACTGGCTAACATCTTTGTTACCAATTTTACATGGACACATGTAAAAACATCTACCCCTATCAGGAACAGTTTTGATTCACTCTCATGGACACATGCACACATCATAATCAACCTCTATTCAAGATTTTTTGTAAAGCGGGAGTCAGTTGATTGTTAACATTGTCCAAAACAACAGTGCCCAAAGACGTTTTCAATTACATGAACCTTATTTTTATCTCCGTTGTCTGACAACGAAACGCATTTCATAAGATGCCGACATTTTCTTTTTTCAGATTCGGAAAGAACATATAGAATCCTATGTTGGATTTTGACAGACCCAGATGACTTGGACAATAGAACCATTCATGTCAAAAACACATGGACACAAAAATGTGATATTCGCTTATTCATGAGCTCAGCAGAAAATAAAACTTTCCCTACGATTGGGCTAAATGTTAGCAGCGGCAAAAAGCATATTGCAGCCAAGTCAAAAGCGGCATGGACGTACATTTACAATAATTTTGCCGACAAAGCAGATTATTTCATGAAAGCTGATCCGGATACGTACGTAATCGTAGATAATTTACGATATTACCTTTCTCATCACGACCCAACAGTAGCGGAATATTTTGGTCATTCCATGAAATTAAAGCAGCACAACTTTACTTTTATGAGCGGAGGGTCTGGACTCGTGATCTCCAGAGAAGCTCTTCGACTTCTAGTCACAAATGCTTTCCCACTACGACCCACCTGTATTCCTGACGGCGTAGGTGAGGGCAGGATCCTGTCGTTTTTAAGTATGGCAACATTTGTTAAAATGAAAGTAGACCAAATACCCTTGTGTGAATGATTACATCCCTTTCAGTTTCACAAATGTTGCCATAACATTATCTCAAATGAAATAAATCAAATCATGTTACATTTACCAAATACAATTTTGCTCAGTATGTTCACTGTGTCACTTGAAGGGATAATAACTCTTCGTTTTGGCCCAAAAAAATGAATTTTCCTGGAGTAAACAACAATTTTCTCATACTTACCAATGGTTAATGAATCCATTTTTACATTCAAATTTAGTCCCTGAATTTTTTCTAAAAAGTTTGGTTTTTTGTTAAAATCTCTTAAGAGATTATAACAGAGTTTAGCCATCAATGGAGGTCACGTGGTCTAAAGACAAGCTCAGATATCAGAATAATAGCTATAACTGCCATTTTTGTGGTAAAACAGAATATATTATATTTCTATGAGTTATTCACAATGTTTTTTTTTGTGAAATATAGACCTCATACGAAGAGTTATTATCCCTTTAATGTTAAAGATATTTCATTTAGGTTCTTACATTATGCATGAGGACAGGTATTGACGCTTTCGGATTGTGCACGGTAAGACCTACTCTTATGACATTGCTGCCGTCTTTGACTAGGTTCACGCTTTTTTTATCTCAGGGGAAGACTGGAAGACTGCTCAGTGCCTTTCCAAGGTTGGAGCTAAAGCTGTCAATACTAGTGATGAATTTGGTAGAGAGAGGTTTTTACTCTATAGACCGGAAATACACATCCTGGGCCTCTACCCGCCGTGGTTTTATGAGAAAGATCAGAACAACGCTAGACGGGTACTGCGACAATTAATTTATCTTAGAACATTGGTTTTGACGAATTCAAACGTGTCAAAAAAAACAAAAACATTATTTTACACTAAAACCAAAGGCAATATTATATTAACGATTTAATGCAATTTTAATAATACCTATTTAGAGCATGTATTCGGTCAAAAAATAAAACCACGGGGTTATTTCCTCTAATTATTTTTCAGGGAATAAACTGCTGTAGCGACTTTCCTATAGCATTCCACTACATACGTCCACTGGAGATGTACGTGTTCGACTATCTTTTGAACCGTGTTCAGGTCATGAAGACAAACTAGGATACACGAAAGTTATTCAAAAAGACAAGTGCACGCTGTGCTACGCCGCGCTACGTTTTAAAAAATTCGATCGTATGACATTCTTTTTCGTTCTGTGAGAATGAAATGGTTTTTGCCAAGTAATATTTCTACTGTGCAGTCATGTGTCCATCATGAATTTAGTGTTCGTGTAGTGACCAGTGAAGAAGACAGCGCGGCAACGGTGACTGGGGGACGTTGATAATAACACTGTTCGTGCTTACATGACCTCGTGGTGGTCTTGCTAACTCAAATCACTCTCACTTAAGCGTCTGGTCAGAACAAGAGGTCTACACTTAAATGCCCCGTTATCTTTTGCAGATAAATTCCTCTGTTATTTTATGTCGGCGCCGACAAAGCTCTCATCAAACAACGTGAAATAAAAGTTAGAGGGTCCAATTAAGCCACACTATACATATCGGGTCCCAAGAATGACCTGATGTTATCATGGCCTTTTGAACGGCATTTGTTATCTGAATATAGTGTCGGTCATTTAAATATGACCCAATTAACTTGATGAACATACACAGAGAAATAACATCAATTTACAGATGAATAGTTTAAATGAGTACTAATGTTCATATCTCAAATGAACGTCAAAAACACCATTAATTACATTAATTACATTCATTATAGCATCAGGAAACGACAGGCCTGATAAAAGGAGATACAGGTCAATTTTGACTTATTTTTGGGAAGTCCAAAATTGTCAGAATGGTCAGATGAGAGTCAATTATGTCATTCCAAACCTTAAGAATTAATTATTCAAGGTGTGACGGAGGACCCACGAGCTGGAGCACACTATTGTCCTCCATTGATTGTTCTGTGCTCAATAGAAAAAGTTTAGAAATACCAAAACAAAACTATGGGGCGATTCAGCAAAATGGTGTGGATTGGCCGTTTTTCCATATTATGTGCTTTACTACTGGTACATCGTTTTGTGAACATGAGTATCCATGCTGAAATATACGGTGACACCGATACTGGTAGAATGCTGAAAGATCCACGAACTGAAGAGAAATCGCACAATATGAGTTTTGCTGCCAAAGGAGGAAATCTTTTTTAATTATTTATATTTATTTATTTATTTTGTTAGTTATAGTTTATATAAGGTTTATGTCGTCTCTAATGTCAATGGTCCTTTTTAATTACTTAAGTTTACTTGTACGTATTTCATAAAATTTGATATGCTTTATTTTATTGCAGAAGGAAATTTTAGTCTGCATATCTGTAGATTTGGCAGTTTTTGTTGCTTTATTTTCCTAAACAGGCTTACCCAACTACCAGACTCGGCACCGAATTATACCGAAATTACCGGTAGATCGGACCATTCTACCCGATTTCAAGGTGTGCGTCAGCATGCATTTCACAGTATCATACCCCGGTGTGGCGTGTACCGCTCGGAGCGTGAACCATCCGTTCTGCTCATGCGCACAAAGCGCAGGCAAATCTCAGGTGGCCATATCAACACTCTAGGGATTTTTTCAATCCCTAGTCCTATTAAAATTTCATCCATGTATAGATAATATGTATTAGAGTCTTGTACATATTACATTTCAGTTTAAATTGTCTTATTATCACTTTTACTTAACAATGTTCATGTAAGTCACCATTCCACGTACAAATTGGACTTAGCGATTTTACGCATTGGTGATTCCATGACCCAGGAGGGTAGGCCTATAATGGGAGTTTACCCTCTCTGTTATATGAGATCGAATTAAGAACCGATTGTGATCACAATCCGTCTCCTTACTTTACACCTGCTTCATTCCCGTCTGCATACAACAGAAAAACTAGGTTATAATTAGCATTTATGTTCTTTTCTACCTACTTATTTCAAACACGCATAGAAATGCAATTTCCCAACAAATAAAATACTTTCTTGTCCCTTTTGCAATCTATAGACCATAACACAGGTTTTTCTGCCTCTGAACCTGTTTCATACCTAGACAATTTTGATGAATGTGCGCGCAGTAAAAGACTGTGCTTGTTTTAGTAATGTGCACATCTTCCGCAGTTACGACACATTGATTTGATAGCCATAAATAAAATGATGCATTAGAATTTGTTATACAACACTCTGTGCATCATTTAGAGTTTAAAACGCTTTTTAACGAGCATCAAAGGGAATTTGCCAAACCAGGCCATACACCAGTAAGCTATTTTTAGATCCAATTATATCAAAAGAGGAAATATAAGACTAACATGAACAAGAGCAATGTGGAGAATTGGGAACATTGTATGTTTTGTCAATTGCGTTATACTGTGTGCTAACTTGTATCTATGGATGCGCACTTGTATTCAAATAGGCGGTCACATAGATACAGTCAGGATGTTTAAACCTTCACAAACCGGAGAGAAATTGCGCCATAGGAGCGATGCTGCAAAGGAACAAGGTGACACAGACAATTTTTTTGATTGCATTTAAGCGGTTGGATGTTAAAATATGTGGATAAAAACAAATTTAATATGCATTAACTGCGGGGTAGGGCGTTTTTGAAATAGGCCTACCTACGTTTATCTCTGCTGTCTTGCAACAAAATGAGCTTCATAAATTCATAAATTGGCATTTTTTCATTTTATTTCAGAAGCAAAATATAGGATCCTTTGCTGGATATTGACAGACCCAGATGATTTGGACAACAGAACGATTCACGTCAAAAATACTTGGACACAAAAATGTGACATTCGCTTATTCATGAGCTCCGCAGAAAACAAAACCTTCCCTACGATTGGACTAAATGTTAGCAGTGGCAGACAGCATATTGCAGCCAAGTCAAAAGCGGCTTGGACGTACATTCACAACAATTTTGCCGAGCAAGCAGATTATTTCATGAAAGCTGATCCAGATACTTATGTAATCGTAGAAAACTTACGAAAGTACCTTTCTCATCGCGATCCCACAGTAGCGGAATATATCGGCCATTCTTTGAAATTAAAACGGCACAACTTCACGTACATGAGCGGAGGATCGGGAATTGTAATTTCCAGAGAAGCTCTTCGACTTCTAGTTACAAAAGCTTTCCCACTACGACCCACCTGTATTCCTGACGGTGAAGATGAGGGTATGCCCTTGTTATTTCCAAGAATGGCAACATTTGGGAGAACAACTTGGTTAACTCCCCCCCCCCCCCCCACCACCACCACCATTTGTTTCACAAACGTTACTATTAAATAATTCTAAAAAGGTTAAAATATTGACTTTTTGCTATTTACAACCGACTTTACTGTCTCAATTCTTACAAAAGTGCGCAATACCGAGTCTCAGTGATACCCATCTGCATTGTTCTTACTGTACACTAATTGACGTGTTGCGAAACATGTTTGACATACTGTCACTGTCATGTTTCATCAATATCTAATATGTTTAAAGTACTGATGTTATCGTTGCGAAAGGATATTCTTTGAAAATTGCTGGCATCTATGACTTACTTCACGGATATTTTTTACTTTATTTTAGGCGAAGACTGGAAGACTGCTCAGTGCCTTTCCAAGGTTGGAGCTAAAGCTGTCAATACCAGTGATGGATTTGGTAGAGAGAGGTTTTTACTTTATAGACCGGAAATACACATCCTGGGCCTCTACCCGCCGTGGTTTTATGAGAAAAATCAGAACATCGCTAAGCAGGTATTGGGGCAATTATTACACTTTATAACCTTGGTTTTGACATCTAGTCAAACACGAGTCATCAAAAATGTTATTGTACAATTAAACCAAGGCAATGTTCATAAATGAAAATGATCAAATACAAACTGAAAATCTTTCAGACCGTTAGCTTACGGCAACCTGGACGTAGTAGCCTTCATCTGCCTGATGTGAGATGTGGTTACTCACTGACCGCTAGGTGGTGTATAGCGGCTACGACCCTCCAGGTTGGCCGTAAGCTAACGGTCTGAAAGATTTTCGGCTTGTGTTTGATAATTTTCATTTATGATGCAACTACCAAACTAATGAACATTTTTGCTCAAAGGCACTGTTATTTCAACGATTTAAATGCAATTTTAATAATGACTATTTAGGGCATATATTTGGTCAAAAAACATTCACAGGTTTATTTTATCTTACTTTTCAGGGAATAAACTGCTGTAGTGACTTTCCTATAGCATTCCACTACATAAACCCCTTGGAGATGTATGTGTTCGACTATCTTTTGAACCGTGTACAAGTCATGAGGACGAACTAGGATACGTGACGATTATTACAAATGAAAAGTGCACGCCGTTTGTACGTTTGAAGATTTCTTCTTTTGTTTCTTTATTTTGGATCAGTTTCTGATAGTTTTTCTGTGGCCATTTTAATCGTTTGCTTTCTTGCGAACTTGGAGCGGCTTTTGTGGAAATCACTTTTACCGTGTTTCTGTCGTGGTAATTCAGACAATATTCCTTTTGTAACTAGAAAGGCACTCAGAGAGCGCGGATTGACGTCAAGCACCCTGCCATGGTGAATTGCGGTAGTTGAGAAGACACCCATTGTTCAATGTCAAGGCAATGATGAGGGAACCTTTAAAATTCTTATATCCAGTGAGTAATGTGGATCACTTCTCACCACCATATTCTAATTACTTAGAAGCCCATTTGTGGCATATCCAGTGAATTCCATCAAAATCCATGTAAACTTTATCGAGTTAACCTGGTGACAAACAAACGACGCCAGAGGCGTTTGTCAATTATCCCAGTTTTGGGTCAATAAATCCTCGAGACGACCCCACCCAAAGTCATTGCAAAATACTGTCAAAGTGAATACAACAGAAAAACAACCGAAAAATCATTCCGTCAGACGGCGGCAACAGACGACGGCTGCGACTTTAACACACCGCAAGGTTTTATTTTCAACTAATTGGACAGAGGCCCAGATTTACGGGTGTTTATTAGATGGAGAAGTACATGTATTTTAGTTCCCCGTCGAATTGTAATTCCAATAAGAATGAGCCTTTGAACATTGCAAGAGGCATTATATGGCTTCAGGAGCATCTGACTAGATCATTTCCAAATTATGCATAAAGGTTTTGATTGCGTTTTAAGTTTGGGGTACATAGACGAAAGCTTGGTGATGCTAAAACAAAGGTTTGCTGGAAAAGGGTGGTATTGTTTACTGGATAATATGCTTCAAATTCTTACATTATGCAAAAAAGCAAACAATTCAACCGTTTCTGTAAGTTTCAAGCATAGAATTTTTTGCCATATGAACACTTGAGCGGAAACTTTAGAATTCTCTTCTTTGCCAAGTTAAGATCATGATTTCTTTAAAGAAGTACAGTTTTAATGTGAACTGCTGCAACATTTTACAAGTCTGTCGTGTGACATTCTTTTTAGTTCTGCGAGAATAAAATTGGATTTACTATCAAGTGATAACTCTACTGTGCAGTTATGTGTATCATCCTGTGTATCATTATGTTAATGTAGTGACCAGTGAGGAAAACAGCGTTGCATCGGTAATTGGTATTTATCGGAAGTTGGTAATTAACAGTGTTCGTGCTTACTTAATTGACCTCGTGGTGGACCTGCTATCTCAAATCGCGCTCACTAAAAGCGTCTGGTCAGAACAAGAGGTCTACACTTAAATGCCCCGTTATCTTTTGCAGATAAACTCCTCTGTTATCTTATGACGGTGCCGACAACGATCTCATCGAACTACGTGAAATAAAAGTTAAGTAAGGGGGTCCATTTAAGCCACACTATACATATCTGGTTTCAAGAATGACCTGATGTTATCATGGCCTTTTGAACGGCATTTGTTATCTGAATATAGTGTCGGTCATTTAAATATGATCCAACCAACTTGATAAACATACATAGAGAAATAACATCAATTTACAATGAATACTTCAAAATGAGTACTAATGTTCATATCTCAAATGAACGTCAAAAACACCATTAATTACATTAATTACATTCATTATAGCATCAGGAAACGACAGGCCTGATAAAAGGAGATACAGGTCAATTTTGACTTATTTTTGGGAAGTCCAAAATTGTCAGAATGGTCAGATGAGAGTCAATTATATCTTTCCAAACCCTGTAGAATTAATTATTCAAGGTGTGACGGAGAACCCACGAGCTGGAGCACACTATTGTCCTCCATTGATTGTTCTGTGCTCAATAGAAAAAGTGTAGAAATACCAAAACAAAGCTATGGGGCGATTCAGCAAAATGGTGTGGATTGGCTGTTTTTCCATATTATGTGCTTTACTACTGGTACATTGTTTTGTGAACATGAGTATCTATGCTGAAATACACGGTGACACCGATACTGGTAGATTGCCGAAAGATCCACGAACTGAAGAGAAATCGCACAATATGAGTTTTGCTGCCAAAGGAGACGGTAACCTTTTTTGCCGATTATAGTTTATATAAGGTTTATGTTGTCTACAATGTCAGTGGTCGTTTTTAATTACTGAAGTTCGCTCGTTTGCCTCTCAACGAAATGCATTTCGTAAAATTTGGTATGTTTTATTTCATTTCAGAAAGAAACTTTAATCTGCTTGTCTGTAGGTTTGGCAATTGGTGTTTTATTATCCTAAACTGCTAAAGCTAATTTGACACATTTGTGTCCTTTCATTCATCTCGATGCGTGCCTCTTCCTTGTTGACATTTACCTAGATGCAGGTGCAATGAGCATAGCATGCCTTTCACCAACTTTAAGATGCTTGTGCTTGTGACTGTCTTTGGTTTTTATATCGCTTTTCTCAACAAAGCTTTTACCGTAATGCTCTATGGATATTTTTCCATAACTAGCCCTATTTCAATTCCACCATGCATAGACAATGTGCGCACAGTAAAAGATTTAGTAACGCGCACATCTTCCTGTGTTACGACACATTGATTTGCCTTAATGGTAGCCATAATTAGAAACTGTTATGCAGCACTTTTTGCATCATTTGGAGGTTAAAACGCTCTTTAATGAACAACAAAGGTGGTTTGTCAACCCAGGCAAAATACCAATAAGCTGCTTTTAGATCAAATTATATCAAAGGAGGAAATATTAGACTTACATGAACAAGAGCAATGTGGAGAATAAGGAACATTGTATGTTTTGTCAATTTCGCCATATTGTGTGCTAACGTGTATCTATGGATGAACACTTGTGTTCAAATGGATGGTAACATAGATACAGTCAGGATATTTGAACCTCCACAAACCGGAGAGAAATTGCGCCACAAGAGCGATGCTGCAAAGGAACAAGGTGACCTAGATACACTTTTTGATTGCGTTTAAGCGGTTGAACGATAAAATATAGAATAAAAACCAATTTAATATGCATTTACTGGCGTTTTGAAATATCTCCGTTTATCTCTGCTGTCTAGCAACAATATGAACTTCATAATGAATTTGCATTTTTTTTTTCATTTAATTTCAGAAGCAAAATATAGGATCCTTTGTTGGATATTGACAGACCCAGATGATTTGGACAATAGAACGATTCATGTCAAAAATACATGGACACAAAAGTGTGATATTCGCTTATTCATGAGCTCCAAAGAGAACAAAAGCTTTCCTACGATTGGACTAAATGTTAGCAGCGGCAGAGAGCATATTTCAGCTAAGTCAAAAGCGGCTTGGACGTACGTCCACAACAATTTTGCCGAGCAAGCAGAATATTTCATTAAAGCTGATCCAGATACTTATGTAATCGTAGAAAACTTACGAAAGTACCTTTCTCATCGCGATCCAACAGTAGCGGAATATATCGGCCATACTTTGAAATTAAAACGGCACAACTTCACGTACATGAGCGGAGGATCGGGAATTGTACTTTCCAGAGAAGCTCTTCGACTTCTAGTCACAAAAGCTTTCCCACTACGACCCACCTGTATTCCTGACGGTGAAGGTGAGGGTATGCCCTTGTTATTTCCAAGAATGGCAACATTTGGGATAACAACTTGGTTAATCCCCCCCCCCCCACCATTTGTTTCACAAACGTTACTATTAAATAATTCTAAAAAGATTAAAATATTGCCTTTTTGCTATTTACAACCCAATTTACTGTCTCACTTCTTACAAAGGTTCTTACAATACCGAGTTTCATCTGCATTGTTCTTACTGTGCACTAAAGCCTAGGTCCCAACTACGTTTTGGACGCACGGTTTTTAGGTTCCTTGCGTCCGGCTAGGACGTAGCTAGATCGCACGTAGCGGCTGTTGATCATGTCGAAAAGTTTCTACGCGCTGTTTGCGTCCTCCAATAGTCGCACGATGGATGTGCTCCTCACGCACGCACTCCCTCGTTTTCCCCATTTTTTGGCCGTAGACCGCACATAGCAGCCCGTATGTTCGGTTTGGACCTAGGCTTAACTGACGTGTTTCGAAACATGTTTGACATACTGTCACTGTCATGTCTCATCAATATGTATAATTAAAGTACTGACGTTATCGTTGCGAAATGATATTCTTTGAATATTGTTGGCATTTAAGACTTACTTCACGGATATTTTTCACTTTATCTCAGGCGAGGACTGGAAGACTGCTCAGTGCCTTTCCATGGTTGGAGCTAAAGCTGTCAATACCAGTGATGAATTTGGTAGAGAGAGGTTTTTACTCTATAGACCGGAAATACACATCCTGGGCCTCTACCCGCCGTGGTTTTATGAGAAAGATCAGAACAACGCTAGACGGGTACTGGGACAATTATTCCACTTTATAACCTCGGTTTTGATAGAGTCAAACACAAGTCAACAAAGATTTTATTGTACAATTAAATCAAAGGCAATGTTCATAATTGAAAGTTATCAAACGCCAGCCGAAAATTTTTCATGCCATTAGCTTACGGTCAACCTAGACGTAGTAGCTTTCATCAGACTGACGTGAGCAGAGGTTGACACTCACTGACAGCTAAGAGGTATATACAGTCAATGACTGTCAACAACTGCTCTCATCAGTCTGGTGAAGGCCTCGTCCAGGTTGACCGTAAGGTAACGGTATGAAAGTATTTATTTATGATTCAACTACCAAACTAATGAACATTTTTGCTCAAAGGAACTGTTATTTTAACGATTTAAATGCAAATTTAATAATGACTATTTAGGGATATATATTTGGTCAAAAAACATTCACAGGTTTATTTTATCTTACTTTTCAGGGAATAAACTGCTGTAGTGACTTTCCTATAGCATTCCACTACATAAACCCCTTGGAGATGTATGTGTTCGACTATCTTTTGAACCGTGTACAAGTCATGAGGACGAACTAGGATAGGTGACGATTATTACAAACTGAAAAGTGCATGCCGTCGGTAATTTTGATGATTTCTTCGTTTGATTTTTCTTTTTTTATTCGGATCAGTTTCTGATAGTTTTTCTGTGGCCGTTTTAAATGTTTGGTTTCTTGCAAACTTGGAGCAGCTTTTATGGAAATCACTTTTTCCGTGTCTCTGTCGTGGTAATTCAGACAAGATTTCTTTTGTATCTAGAAAGGCAGTCAGAGAGCGCGGACCGACGCAAAAGCCAATGATGAAGAATGCTTTAAAATTCTTGTAACCAGTGGGTGATGTGGATCACTTCTCACCACCATATTCTAATCACTTAGAAGCCCATTCGTGACATATCCAGTAAATTCCATCAAAATCCATGTAAAATTTATCGAGTTATCCTGGTGACAAACAAACACAAACGCCGCCAAAGGCATTTGTCAATTATCCCAGTTTTGGCTCAGTAAATCCCCGAGACGACCCCACCCAAAGTCATTATTTGCAAAATATTGTCAAAATGAATACAACAGAAAAGCAACCGCCAGACGGCGGCAACAGGCGACGGCTGCGACTTCAACGCACCCAAAGTTTTTATTTTCACCTAATTGGAAAGAGGGTCGGGTTTACAGGTGCTTACTAGATGCAGAAGTATCTTAGTTCCGCGTCGAATGGTAATTCCAATACGAATGATCCTTTGAACGTTCCAGGAGGCTTTATGGCATCAGGATCATCTCACTGATTATTTACAAATTATGCATAAAGGTTTTGATTGCATTTAATTTTGGGGTACATAAACGAAAGCTTGGTGATGCTGGAATATACATGTAGGGAATATCGTTTACTGGATAATACGCCGCAAAATCTTACATGAATGTAAAAAAAGCAAACAACTCAAATGTTTCTGTAAGTTTCAAGTATATGCTTTTTGCCATTTGAATACTTTTAGCGGAAACTTTGAAATTCTCTGCATTGCCAAGATCATGATTTCTTCAAAGAAATAGTTTTAATGTTATAACTGTTGCAACATAATACAAGCATGAGACCGGGGAGGCCCCCCTCTCTCTCAGCGGATTCCGAAAGTTAACATAAAAACTGATAATTTTCAATTCTTGCTTTTGATAAAAAGTGAATACTACAAGCTCATTTTTTGCCACAAATAGCTCATTTTCTTAAATGATTCCATTAGAACCATCTGAGATAGCTGAATTTGGAGTAGTGATGTCAGAAATGATCGAGTACGGTGCAGCAAACGACTAAAACTTTCTTTGCGGTTATTTCCCCATTTATATTCTCTTTAATGTTTTGCGAGAATAAAATAAAATGGGAAATGAAAATTGATTCAAACGTGTTTAAATTTTTTTATATTTTAAAAGTAGCGCAAGTAATCTTTGAGTATGTTAACCACTAGATAACACTCATAACACGATTGCTTTTGAGATAAATGGTTGTTCAGTTTAGTTTTATTTGTTAACAAACATGAGAAAAACGCATGGTCAAGTGCGGTATACAAGGTTTCGTGAGGTTGCCACTGAAGAGCTCAGGCTGAAGATTTCCCATGATAAACGGAATGCATTGAGTTTGCCACCTTAACAAAATCACGACAAAAAATCCACCATAAAGGTTATATTTATTATCAGTTAATGTTGTTTGCTTGATCAATGATTTACAAAATAGCATCTCAGTTAATTTTCATATTTCTTAATGAAGATCAGTTGTTGCGTTCACTTTCACTTTCATATTTGCTGTCGTAAAAACTTTTTAATAAAAACAGACATCCCCCACTTGGATACACTACAATAACTAGGTGCACGATCTAAAAACACTACAAAACATATAATACATGCATAAATATTATATAATATCATCATAGAATAAGGAATAATGTACATGTACTATAGTAATATGTATAATAATTAAAACGACTTACATAGTGTATAAAGTGGCCAGCGAATAACATATAAAAGACTACAGTACAAGTACAGTTTATGTTCCACAGAATTGTAGAGGGCGCTCTGGTCCTCTGGCAGTGCTAGGCTTTTTAGACTACATATATGTACACAACTCCACAGAAATATTAATTAATTCAACAGAGTTACTTTAAAGCACGAAAAATATTTTGGCCTGTGTCGTTCTGTCCTCTCACTCACCAAATCATGTTCAAAGATACTTGTAACTTTAAAAATGTGAATTTTCCTATACATCTCATTGGAATATCAGATTCAAATCAATTACAAGTACTCCAATAATATGGCCTTCTTTATTACTCTTTTCTTAATGGTAATTTTTACTGACATCTTTTTGTTTATAGCAGGAGTTGACAGGCATCCCACTTTCCCAACTTAACTCTTCTTACTCTTTGAACATTTTCATTTTCTAAAGCTTCCAATAAAACTGAGCATTAAAGTTAATAAAATCATTAAACAAACTTCTGTTAAAGCATTTGGCAGATTTTTTACAATTGCCCCAAGTCATTGCAAGTTATATAATTGTTATCTTTAATCCAATTGTTTAGAATTGACATGATACATTGTTCAAATCATTCTCTCCACACCTCCACTGTGGTGAAAATATTGCCAAAGTATAAATATGTTGGCATTCATGCAAGACTACCATGTAACTAACAAGAACAAAAAGCAAATCCAATGGAATGCCCAACAATACTTAAATCAAGAAAAACACACATATTAGGATACCCAGACTTCAGATAAAGGGGACAAAAAATTGAGATATTTTCTCCCTCAGCAGTTAAAATCTATCATTTATGTTACTGGATTTCTATGCAATTAGCACCATTCTATAAGTGAATATAAAACCCATCACTTTCTTTAAAATGCAAGCAACAAATAGGAATAAAGAAACAGATGAAAGTGAAAAACCAGCAAATCTCGAAATATGCTCACACACTAAATGTTGGCATGGGAGGCTTTTTTTTTAAATGCAGACAAATCATTCTCCTAGTGTAGTATCCCCCATGAATGGTTTGGTTGATAAGTCTTACAAAAATCTAAAGTCAAAGCCCAAATCTTACAGCAAAATTGAAATGCAGACAATTGTCTTTTGAGAAGATAACAAACGGGCTTTATATAAGTATAACAATTGAGTTTACAAACTTTAAAAATGCAACAATAATTGTTTGACAGATTCTGAATGGCTTGCGTTATGTGCAAACTTCAATAACTAAGACTAAAATAGTTTACCCTTCCCGAGTCTCGGAAGAAAAAGTAAAAATTTACAAACTGCTTAATGGAGGCAACCATTTCTAGTTAAAGTCCACCCCCAACCCCCACCCCAAAATCTCTCCCCTTAAAAAAAGCAGGTGCTGTAAGTTACACAAACAACCAACAAATGGTTGACAATAATATCTTTGAGGTAATTTTTGGATATTTTGCAAATTGGGACTCTGAAGATCCCCCCTCCCCAATACTTTATCCTTCATATATATATATATATATGTATCAGTGTCCCTTCTGATAGGTCCCTCTGTTAAACTGAAGCTCAAACTATCGCCTGCCCTGCGCTCCAGATTCCAGCTTGGGCCGTTTAAAGCAGCCATCTGGCAAGACGTCCTTAATCTGCTGAATATTCTCTACTTGTTCTCGTAGGTGTATAAGATCCAGAGTATACTGTTCCATTTGCTGCAGCTGAATTAATTGAGCTTTTGAAAGTTCTTTTAATTTCTTATCAATTTCAGCTTCCAACAGTGCTTTATCTGCTTCAGCTAGATTTTTCTCCAGAATATCCAAACGTGAAGTGTCAATCATTTCTAAATTAGCTGTAATAACAAAAACATTGTATTAAGGTGGAATGTCAGTAAAATGTATGGCAACTTAAACAAACAAACATGATATGTTCAATGTGAACACTAACAACTATGTATCACACAACCAGAGAACAAAATAATCATTCATTTTAGTTTCATAAAGGGCAATGGACAGGTTCAGACAGATCATTTTTTTAACATAAAAAATCTGTTAACTGACAAATAATACAGAATAATGCCATTGCCCTTAACTATGCCATCACAAAATCAGATTTAAAGTGACACAAAGCTCTCTACTAAATGAAGTTGTTGTGCAAAGACTTTGTAAGTCCATGCTTGGTGAGTAAATAGCAAGTCTCACTGACCTTCTGAAGACTTCCCAATCATCAGTAATTAAGACTTACCTAATTCTGACAGAATGTCGTTAACATCTTTTAGTGCTTTTCCCACTTTGTCTGAAGATTCCTGAGCACTGGCTTTGGCTCTATCTGCCTTTCTAAGAGCCTGAAAAAGTTTACAACAATGATAAGGAAACTGTTCATTAGTACAGATATCAAGGGAAAAGGGCAAGTAATAATTGCAAATAGGAAGTATTATAATTATTGGTATTTCTTCAATACTAAAACCATAATACTAAAGTATAATATGTATAAAACACTGCACCCATACTGTCAATTTTTTCACCCCTTTGTACAATCCTAAACCACACTTCAGTTGCCAGTAAATTAATGCTTTATAATCTACCTGGTCTGTGAGATTCTTGTCCACATCAGCTTGACCATCAAAGTCCATCAGTTTATCTGCTGCTGCCTTCACATCACCCTCCAAGGCATCTGCTCTATCCCTGGCGGCAGTGGCGGCATTCTTCGTCTCCTGGGCTTCTCCTAAGATTTTTGTTGCTTCCTACAAACATCAACATGTTCAGATAAATGCACCAAACAAGTTATAAATGTTAAGTATTTCAACATTATCAAAAGTTAAAAAAACAAAAACAAACTTCATACTTTTTGCCATACTAATGGCTAATTTAGTAACTTGCTAACAATACTTTGAAAAAGACCCCTAGTTACCGTGGCAGCCATTTCAGAAATGTCCTTGGCCTCCAGAGCGAGTTTCTCTGCCAGCGTGGCGTTGGCCTCGGCACCACTCAGGGCGTCCCTGGCCTGCTGTGTCTTCCTGTTGGCCTCGTCCAAGAGGCTCTCGATGTCTGGAATCTTCTTCATGGCTTCCTCCGCCTGCGCCTTGCTACGCTGCACCTGGTCATCAAAATCTACCAGAAAGAAACAGAATATCAATTATCAAAGTCCTTAATCTTACCACATTTTCTTGACACCTATTATTTTTCACTCGAACCATCTCCCTTTAAAATGCTTTGTAAGAAATCTGTTACCCTCTAAACTGATTTCTATCAGATAAAACAACAGTGTTATACAAAAGGGAAGGTATATCTTCCAGTTTGGTTAACTGTTCAAAACGTGAAACCATACAAAACTGTTTTAATGGTCAGTTTGTGATGACCTCTCATAAACCCACCTTTCAAAATTGCCAAAGTTTTCTGAGCATCCTTCAGGGTTTTCTCTCCTTTGGCCACGGCGTCTCTGGCCACGGCTCTGGCGGCATCAGCCTCCGCTAACAGCTCATCAGCTATCTAAACGTCACAACGAGACAATTAATAAACAGAATTATGCCAAGTTTTAATGTCATTACATTTACATCCCAGTAAAGGTATCACAGTGAGGGCTGATACAGCCTACGAGGCATGAACTTCTCTAAAGACATCATGTGCAGAATTGAAATTGTCCATTTACACTTCCATTCTGTTCAAGAACATTTTGACCCAAGAAGAGTTTTAGTTTATAAGACATGGACCTTTAATATCTCACATAGCTTCACCACAAGACTCCTGCTATCAAATGTGCAATAACTACAGCTCAAACCTGTCAGCTATACAACATATCTCCCCTATCAATAAGTTGACAATGTGGAATATAACCCATATATGCAATGAAGTATTCAACCTAGATCTACCTGTTGTTGCCTGATGCCATCTTGGAGTAGTTCCTCAGCTGTAGCTCTCTGTTCAGTCACGTCTTTCATCAATTCCTCATTTTCCTTGATCAGTGTCTCAGCATCATCTTTAATACCCGCAGCCTGACAAAGAAAGACAACTTGAACGTCCATAACTCCATTACAATAAACAGGACCAATCAATAAGTCACACATAAGTATATTTACTGGTCAAATTCTAGAGAAACAATTGGTTCAAAATGAATACCACTTTAATAATTTTTCACTGAGTTAACTTCGAATAGGCTACGGCCCCATTCAGAATAGGGAACTAATTGGTTGAAGGGTCAAATATGGCAACCCACTACAAAGCTTGCTGCCTAATCCACTAATAGACAATGAATAGATATCCTGTGGGGAAGTATTCAAGTGGGTCAGCCATATTTGACCCTCGTACTTGTTAGCCCCCTATTCTGAATGGGGCCTAACAGATACAAATTAATGATAACTTACATCATTTTTGGTGCCAGTGATATTGGTGCGGAGGTCTGGGAGTTTCAGGTCTGGTAACATCAGAGATCCCGCACTGGTATACAGGTCCAGGGCCTCATTATAGGCATCCACGGCCAGGTCCCGCGCCTGCTTTGACAGCTGCTCGGTTCTGTCGTAAAGATCACTGGACCCAGACACCCTAGAGAGAAAATTTATGAATAAGAAAGCATTTTACTGGGAGAGTATCTAAGAATGATGATAATTTTTTATAAGGATTAAAAGCTGATTGTAGTGAGGTTCAAAACAACAATTTATCTTATTCTCATAATTTTATCTGGTTCAATATGAAGACATTAAACTACAAATTTTACAAATGATAACATATATTTATCGTTGGGCAACCAAAAACATTATCAACTTTTTATCTGTTCTCAATCAAAGGAACAAAAACTTTTATAGTTTTCATTTCTTAAGTTGGTATTTTTTTATCATCAGATTTATTTCTTCATCAAACACTCACTGATCCTTTAATTTCTTAATCTGCTCAGCTGTCTTGTCTGGCTCCTCTGACGTCTGCTGCAGCAGTTGCAAGGCCTCCTGGGAGATATTCAGGGCCGTCCTTGACGTCTGATCTATAGCACTAGCCTCCTCCTCTTGTCTACAAACACAATACTCAACTAGTTACAAGGTAAAAATCAGGTCAATTTTGTTGCATTTTACTGATCTTACTTTTATTATCTATTTATTTATTCATTCATTCATTTGTTTCCGCAATATAAATTATTTTAGCTAAATCAAAAATAAATGCAAATAATAAAAACTTCTCTGTCCTTCTGTAAACATCCACACCCCATCAGACAGCTCTGCACTTACTTCTCCACCAGTTGCCTTGCCTCTCGTGACATATTGGTCAGTTGTGCTGACTGTTGACCAGCGAGAGCCAGGGCATCCTTTGCCTTCATCAGCGCCCTCTGGCCCTCATTCTGCAAGTACTGCTCGGCATCGCTGAGTGCTGCTCCTGCCCGCGTGATGATGTCGTTTGCTGTGGCCAGATCAGAGTTGACGGAGCTGACGCTGGTTTCTCCCTTCTGTACATTATTAGCTATGGTCTGAACCTGTACCATCAGCTCTCCTAAAGCCTCATTCAACATGGACAGCTCTTTGCCTATTGGGCTTCCCTCACCTTCAATTATACATCAAATTATATATCATTATATAAAACTTTCATCCGCCACGGTCCAACCAGTTCTTTTAATGTAACAAAAATTATTTCAATGTTTCAATCACCCTAATGGACACAGTGGTTTTATAATTATCAATAATAACAAGCTGACACAATATAAATACCTAGATAAGCAAGGTCTAATTGTGCGGATCCTTATCAACGGGAAAATTTTCTATCAATTCTATCAATTTCAGAAAATTTAGCATATTGATATTATTTCTTTAAAACATCAAATGAAGAAATCATCTAACAGAAAAAATATTCCAACCACACCTCAGCAAGAACCCACCTGATGCAAAGAGAGCGTCTGCCAGTAGTGCATTCACAGAGGCATTCACCTCATCCAGTCTTCTCAGAAATTCTGTGTCGTCGATGGTGGTGGTGTTTGGCTGCCCAATGCTGGCGATCATGTTCTGAAGGGTGATCAGCTTACGACGGTGTTCGTTCACTCTGTCCTGTACCAAACTATAGCATGGCGGACAGTCTGAAACAAATAAATTATATATTTATATATATGTATAAAAAGAGAGAGAGAGAGAGAGAGAGAGAGAGAGAGAGAGAGAGAGAGAGAGAGAGTTACTGCAAATGAGTGACCGTTCACAAAACTGGAACCTGGATGACAATTATCATGGTGACCAAACATGATAATAATTATAGAAATTGATTCACAAAGTGGAAAGGAAAAATATAAGTATTTTACCACAGAATTACTTTTTCCTTAAAATCTCAAACTCCCACACCCTTCCCACTCACAATTAAGATACTCCAATCCAGATTTAATACACTGATCAATTCATCTGAACATTAAACCCTAGTGATCAGTTCAATGTTCCCTTACCTATGCAGCCTGCGGTGATGTTGTACTTATTTTCCTTGCACCTGTCACACTGCCGTCCCTCTGTATTCTCTTTACAAGGACACTGCCCACTGTACACGTCACACTGGGCATCAAGGGAACCCTCGGGACTACACTCACACGCTGGAAATATTTTAAAATATAGAATTGTAAGCAATACCAGAATTCCCATCATTTCCAGAATTATCAAACACTAAGTTTATAAAGTATGGAAAACTGTTAGTTAAAAAAGGGGCAAGTTTTCTTTCTTTCTTCCTTCTGAATCATAAACTAAAATGTGTAACACAAGCATAAAGCTATCATCTTTAAAAACTTTCTGTCCAGTTTCATGTCTTATTCAACACATTGTCTCTTTTCAATCTCACAGCCAAGCTCAAAGCTAAGTGAGGCTGGACTTTAAAGCCACCCCTCACCTTTACAGCCCTCCAGTGAGAAGCCATACTGGTACGGCAGACACTGGTCACATGTTCTCCCTCCTACGCCAGGTTTACAGCTACACTGACCAGTCTGAATGTCACAGGTCAAGGCCGTAGAACCCACTGGGTCACACATACACATCTCACAGCCTGAAATATAGGTCACAGCATGGTTATACTACACATTGCTCTCATTTGAATTAGTAATAGATTGCTACAGCTAACAGCTTGAAGACACAGTGCTGCCAAGTACACGGGACATATTTATATCTTCCTGATGCCTTCACTTTATGATTGTATCATAATAATATAAATTTCACGATTAAGTTAAGTAGCTTCTAATATTACAATAGTGATGCAGATTTAACACTTAAGTACCTTCCTGAAACAAGGTCCCTACTCTGCACAGTATTTTTTCATTACACTGTGTCAATCTTGTGATTTCATTAGCTTCACAGCTGTTTTTATCATCTACTAGCTTACAACTTTCAGAAATATTCATCTTTTAGTCAACTTTCAAGCAGCTGACATCACACCCACCATTCCCGCTATCAATGTTATAATATCCGTCCTGACACCTGTCACACTGCCGTCCAGTGACATATGGCAGACATGGACACTGGCCTGTCCTGGCCTCACACAGCAGAACGCCATCTGGTGCACTGGCTGGTCGTCTTGATCCACGTGGATAACATTGGCAGGCTGAAATAACAACGCAGGACTTAATGACAAGTGAAAAAAGAACATTTTTGTGATACTGTTTGTGAAATAAGCAAGTGTTGTAATTAATTGTACTACCCAGCAACTGTCTACTAATTTCTGACAATACTCACTGCTGCATTTTGCAAGTTATAACAAGATGCACTTAAGCGGCAGCTTTGAGATAAAACCTAAATTAAACCAAGTAATCATAATTTTCAGTAACTTAATTCTCCAATTTTTCTGCCTGTTTTTCTCTTTATATGTACATATATTTACTATCAAATGGTTTCCTAGCAACTGACCTTTGCAATCCCCCTTTGGAAGTGCTAGGGCATCCCCGTAGTAGCCAGGCAGACAACGGTCACAGTAGAACCCCGCTGTGTTGTAGATACACTTCAAACACTCTCCTGTTGTGCTGCAATAGAGAAGAAATTGATAAAGCATGGGAATGAAGCTAAACTGAATTGAAATGCTGAAAAGAAAATAAGGAATATGGTGGAAATGGCAGTAAATGGTAGTTTACATATCAATGCTGATGTCTCATCAGTCATCAATTAGAAATCAATCTTTCAAATGCAGCATTCCCAAGATTTAGATATCTTTACCCACCTGTTGCAGTTGGCCACTGCGTTGGGGTCAATATTTTCATTACAGCGACATTTCTGGCACTGTGAGGCAGGACCATAGCGACCTGTTGGGTCTCCGTAGTATGAGTCTGCACAGTACTCACAGCGGTTGCCTGGCAACAAAAACATCAGCTTTCATAGTGAACAGATAAAACATCACTTTTATACTGAAGTAACATCCTTAAAAATATTAAATACATCTTTCACTTCTAGAAAGATATCAGCAACTATCTGATTTTCTCAGATTTGACCCTATCTGCTTAAAATACCCGAATAATAAAATTATAATTCAAATACCTAAGAACCAATGTATAAGGTCTGTGTTACCAGCATTTCCTCAAAATATGATTTGTTGCGACTTACATGATGTGATGTCAAATGTAGATTTTCCTATACTGCACTGTGCTAACATGTCAGCACCATTAGTTTCTTTACTGACATCAACATAATAAATATGTAGAGAGGACCGTTCAAAAATGCCTTGTTCCATACCTGCATTCATGTCAATATGATGAATATTTTGTCCATGAATAATTTTATCTAGCTCTGTTTCCATACCTGCATTTATGTCAATATGATGAATAATACATCCTTGTATTATTTTATCTACCTCTGTTTCCATACCTACATTCATGTCAATATGATGAATATTATGTCCATGAATTATTTAATCTAGCCCTGTTCCCTACCTGCATATCCCTCCCTACAGTTAATACAGGCCACCTCTCCGTTCAGTAACTCCACACAGGAGCCTCCATCTGGACACGGGCAAGGACTGCAATCATTTGGGGTACCAGCCAGCGCGTAACCATAGTAACCAGGTTTACAGACCTCGCAGTTCGTGCCTGCCGTGTTGTGCTGGCAGATACAGCGACCTGATATCATTAAATATAACATCAATATAGTCTAAATTTTACAATTAATTCTTTAATCAAAGGAACAGAAAATGAAAAAATTTCCTTAGAAAATGGCCACTGATGGTGCATATGAAGATAACTTTGATAGCCACATAATGTGAACAGAACCCACTGAATGCTAAGTGATAAATCACAAACAGATTCAAGTTTCATTAGAGAAAACTCAAAGGCATTAAGTCTTGGTCATGCAATTCCTTTTTTTTTCATAATCTTTCATAATCAAAACATACTTTTGTTACATGAAAAATGTAACCATTTTATATACTCTACTCACATGTAATACACACATAAGCTCATGGTTTTCAGCAAGCTACAAACCACAGCCAAACTAGGACAAAATCAACAAAGTTCAAATGGCTGTAAATAAGATTTTATGACCAGATATCAGAGTTGACTGACCTGTGTTGACCTCGCAGGTGTCTGAGTGGTTGTTACAGTTACAGGGGATACAGCGTGCATAGGGTCCGCCACCAGGTGGATCCCTGTGGTATCCCGGCTCACAGGACTCGCAGAACTGGCCAACGTATCCCGTGGGACAGGTACACTGCTCTACCCAGGGGGCAGGGTCTCCAAAACTGCCACGCCGCGCTGACACCAACTTGACATTATCCAGGAATCCAACTCCTAGAATTCAAAGAGAGAAAATGGGGATATATACTCAGAAGGAGGTGGGGGGTTCGAGCGGAGTGTGTGTTTGTTCTATAGTATTTCTACTGCCGTTTTTTAAGCAAATCAGGTCAAAATCATGGTGTACATCTTTAAGATTTTAAAAAACATTTCAAAAAGTTATGCTAATTTTAATTTGCAAATCAGTACATCAGCATATTTGTGACAGAAAAATATCATTTTCACTGCATCACATTAACACTGTGTTCACATCATCAAATTCTTTCTTCAGTACCTATGCTTAGAAAAAGTTTCTTACTTTTAAAAAATCACTCCACACTACTAACAATCACCAATAATCCTGAACAAGAGCTACTGTATCTCTTACCCTGTGACTGATAGGTCCCACGTAGCCTCATGGATGTTAGATTGGCCAGCATTCCTCTGAAGTCAAGACTTGTTAGGCGGGGTGTCCACTGGTAACGCGGGTGTTCATTCAGCACAAACCTGTACTCCTGGTTGATGTTCCTGGGCAGTGGATTCCCCTGAGCAAAGATTGGCGCTGAGACTGTCTGACCATTGCCCTCCAACACTATGTCCATGATGGAGGCCCGCGCCCCCTCCTCTCCCACGCGGAGATTGAACGACAACAGCTGGTTGTAGCTGTTACTTTGGTCCCCGGAATACTTGGCTACATAACAGGAAAATAGCAAATAAATATCTTCAAGCCAATACCAATCTGTGAAAAATTTAAATTAAAATAAAATAATATATAATTTAAATAAAATAAATTAAAATTTATAATTATAAAACTTGCCTTTTAACCTTGACACCCAAAAATCCTGGAAAACCAGGATCTAGAAAAACCTTAATATATGTCAAACAGATCATAGATATTAGACTTTATTTAAAACAAAAACAAGTCAGAGTCAGTTGTGGAAACTAGGATGCAGCCCAGCTTGACTGATCCTAGAGCTGATGGTTAGAAAACTCTATATTTCTTGTCAAAAATGTTATAGGTAACAGACATAAATACAGAAAGACAAGCTAATCCTCACATGGTGCACTGAAATACTGTGCCTGGTTATCCAGTGAAGAAATACTGATGTCTTCTAAGATGGCATTATACTGTATGGGGACATCAAGTCCATCTTTGTCCTTGCCTTCCCAGAAGTCTTTATCTAAAACAAAAACACAAGTCAGGGTCAGTTGAGGAAACTAGGCTTTCAGTTTAATTGGTAAGGGAAAAGACTCCTAGGTACTGAATATTTTTAACTCTCAGTGCTTTGACCTAATCTGTACATAATATATTCTTATCTTATATACCACATGCATGTTACATAGGTAATTGTAATAAACCCATCAAAGCTGCAGCAACCACTGAGCTGGAATATAAAGAAATTAGCAAGGGCCACTGCGTTTTTGAAACAGACTTATAGACAATATACTGTATGAATACAACTTAATATACTGTAAAAATACAAAAAATGTCTATTAATATGTTTTTGGAAATAATTCTAGTGATTATGAACAACAAATGATCATCCATACTAATGTACTTTCTCATGGGTAGTCCCATCCTTCTAACCCCCCCTTCTTTATCAGCACAGGAAGTGCCAAATATGAAACAGCAAGGCATACAACATTAATATTTTCCATCATAACTTACCATTTTCAAAGTCTGAAGTGATCTCATATTTTGTAAACTGTCTGGCACTTGAACAAACAGAGGAATGACCATAGCAGAAGCAGCTAATGCAGCCCAGGGGGTTAGCCTCCTGAAGGTTATAATAGCCTGGCTTACACCTGGGGGAGAATAATAGAGGTTAGGATTAACAGGTCTCACATTTTTTAACTTTGTTTCAGAGAAACTGATCACCAGAGGGCAGCACCTGCCCGACACATTGATAGAAATAATAGTCATGTTTGGTAAACATATGGTCAATACTCTGTACAAATTACTACCTGAAAAGAGATATTTGTAGAGCATATTAGACAAATAGCGCAAAAATCTCTTAGTTCTCAACCTTGCAGGGTGTCAGACTGATATCAGTAAAACTGGCCGTCTGCGTGTATTGTATGAGATTAGTAAATTCCTTTGATCTATTCCACAGTACACTTGTGATACCATAACTACAGAGTGGCGAGAAATAACAATGTGTATCTCTGATGACCACATGGCCGATTATAACTGCTACTGTTACANCCCCCTAGTTACCGTGGCAGCCATTTCAGAAATGTCCTTGGCCTCCAGAGCGAGTTTCTCTGCCAGCGTGGCATTGGCCTCAGCACCACTCAGGGCGTCCCTGGCCTGCTGTGTCTTCCTGTTCGCCTCGTCCAAGAGGCTCTCGATGTCTGGAATCTTCTTCATGGCTTCCTCCGCCTGCGCCTTGCTACGCTGCACCTGGTCATCAAAATCTACCAGAAAGAAACAGAATATCAATTATCAAAGTCCTTAATCTTACCACATTTTCTTGACACCTATTATTTTTCACTCGAACCATCTCCCTTTAAAATGCTTTGTAAGAAATCTGTTACCCTCTAAACTGATTTCTATCAGATAAAACAACAGTGTTATACAAAAGGGAAGGTATATCTTCCAGTTTGGTTAACTGTTCAAAACGTGAAACCATACAAAACTGTTTTAATCGTCAGTTTGTGATGACCTCTCATAAACCCACCTTTCAAAATTGCCAAAGTTTTCTGAGCATCCTTCAGGGTTTTCTCTCCTTTGGCCACGGCGTCTCTGGCCACGGCTCTGGCGGCATCGGCCTCCGCTAACAGCTCATCAGCTATCTAAACGTCACAACAAGACAATTAATATCCCAGGATTATGTAAAGTTTTACTGTCCATTACATTTACAACCCAGTAAAGGTATCACAGTGAGGGCTGATACAGCCAACAAAGCAAGAAATTCTCTAAAGACTTATCATGTGCAGAATTGAAATTGTCCATTTTCACTTCCATTCTGTTCAAGAACATTTTGACCCAAGAAGAGTTTCAGTTGATAAGACATGGACTGTTGACATCTCACACAGCTTTACCATTAAACTCTGCTATCAAATGTGCAATAACTACAGTTCATACCTGTCAGCTATACAACATATCTCCCCTATCAATAAGTTGACAATGTGGAATATAACCCACATATGCAATGAAGTATTCAATCTAGATGTACCTGTTGTTGCCTGATGCCATCTTGGAGTAATTCCTCAGCTGTAGCTCTCTGTTCAGTCACGTCTTTCATCAATTCCTCATTTTCCTTGATCAGTGTCTCAGCATCATCTTTAATACCCGCAGCCTGACAAAGAAAGACAACTTGAACGTCCATAACTCCATTACAATAAACAGGACCAATCAATAAATCATTGCACCACAGAAGGTAAACATAAGTATATTTACTTGTCAAATTCTAGAGAAACAGTTGGATTAAAATGAAAACCATGTTAATAATTTTTCACAGAGTAACTTCAAATAGGCTAAGGCCCCATTCAGAATAGGGGACTAACTTGTCTGAGGGTCAAATATGGCAACCCACTACAAAGCTTGCCGTCTAATCCACTAATAGACCTGAATAGATATCCCATAGGGAAGTATTTAAGTGGGTCAGCCATATTTGACCCTCGGACTAGTTAGTCCCCTATTCTGAATGGGGCCTAGCAGATACAAATTGATGACGATTTACATCATTTTTGGTGCCAGTGATATTGGTACGGAGGTCTGGGAGTTTCAGGTCTGGTAACATCAGAGATCCCGCACTGGTATACAGGTCCAGGGCCTCATTATAGGCATCCACGGCCAGGTCCCGCGCCTGCTTGGACAGCTGCTCGGTTCTGTCGTAAAGATCGCTGGACCCAGACACCCTAGAGAGGAAATTTATGAATAAGAATGCATTTTACTGGGAAAGTATCTAAGAATGATGATTATTTTTTATAAGGATTAAAAGATGATTGTAGTGAGGTTCAAAATAAGAATTTATTTTATTCTCATAATTTTATCTGGTTCAATATGAAGACATTAAACTACAAATTTTACAAATGATAACATAAATTTATCATTGGGCAACCAAAAACATCATCAACTTTTCATCTGTTCTTGATCAAATGAACAAAAACTTTTTTATACTTTTCATTTCTTAAGTTGGTATTTATTTTCTCATCAGAATTATTTCTTCGTCAAATACTCACTGATCCTTTAATTTCTTAATCTGCTCGGCTGTCTTGTCTGGCTCCTCTGACGTCTGCTGCAGCAGTTGCAAGGCCTCCTGGGAGATATTCAGGGCCGTCCTTGACGTCTGATCTATAGCACTAGCCTCCTCCTCTTGTCTACAAACACAATACACAACTATTACAATGTAAAACTCAGGTCAATTTTGTTGCATTTTATTGATCTTACTTTTATCATTTATTTATTTATTCATTAATTAATTCATTTGTTTCAGCAATATATATAATTTTTTTTCGCTAAATAAAAAAAAATGGCAAAAAGTAATCAAAACTTCTCTGTCCTTCTGTAAACTTCCCCATTAGACAGCTCTACACTTACTTCTCCACCAGTTGCCTCGCCTCTCGTGACATATTGGTCAGTTGTGCTGACTGTTGACCAGCGAGAGCCAGGGCATCTTTTGCCTTCATCAGCGCCCTCTGGCCCTCATTCTGCAAGTACTGCTCGGCATCGCTGAGTGCTGCTCCTGCCCGCGTGATGATGTCATTTGCTGTGGCGAGGTCAGAGTTGACTGATCTGACGCTGGTTTCTCCCTTCTGTACATTATCAGCTATGGTCTGTACCTGTAGCATCAGCTCCCCTAAAGCTCCGTTCAACATAGACAGCTCCTTGCCTATTGGGCTTCCCTCACCTTCAATTATACATCATATTTTGTATCATTATATAAAACTTTCATCCATCATAGTCCAACCAGTTCCTCTGTTTTTTTGATGTAACAAAAATTATTTCAATATTTCAATCGTCCTAATGGATACACTGGTTTTATGATTATCAATTATAACAAACTGACACAATATAAATACCTCGATAAGCAAGGTCTAATTGTGCTGATCCTTATCAACAGGAAAATTTTCTATAAATTCCATCAATTTAAGAAAATTTAACATATTGATATTATTTCTTTAAAACATCAAAGAAATCATATAACAGGAAAAATATTCCAACCACAGCTCAGCAAAAACCCACCTGATGCAAAGAGAGCGTCTGCCAGTAGTGCATTCACAGATGCATTCACCTCATCCAGTCTTCTCAGAAATTCTGTGTCGTCGATGGTGGTGGTGTTTGGCTGCCCAATGCTGGCAATCATGTTCTGAAGGGTGATCAGCTTACGACGGTGTTCGTTCACTCTGTCCTGTACCAGACTATAGCATGGCGGACAGTCTGAAACAAATAAATAATATATTTATAAATATGTATAAAAAGACAGAGAGAAAGAGAGAGAGTGTAACTGCAAATGAGTGGCTGTTCACAAAACTGAATCCTGGATGACAATTACCATGGTGACCAAACATGATAATAATCATAGAAACTAGAGGATCAGAGAGGCGATACCGCCTCCGAATATTGTACCACCAGCTGGAGCAAGCGCATTCGTATAGACCCCCACATACACAAAATAAGGGACACAGCCACCAGTTTTGTGCTTGACAAGCTGTAAAAATGCAATCAACAAGAATTTTTAAACTATTGCAAAAAATATATATGGTACAATCAAATTTAAGTTCTTCATAAGGTAGGTCAAGGGTCAATTTCAAGGTCACANAATTAATTCACAAAGTGGAAAGGAAAAATATAAGTATTTCACCACAGAATTAAGTTTTCCTTATAATCTCAAACCCCAACACCTTTCCCATTCTCAGTTCTGATACTCCAATCTAGATTTAATACACTGATTAATTCATCTAAACATCAAACCCTAGTGATCAGTTCAATGTTCCCTTACCTATGCAGCCTGCAGTGATGTTGTACTTATTTTCCTTGCACCTGTCACACTGCCGTCCCTCTGTATTCTCTTTACACGGACACTGTCCACTGTACACGTCACACTGGGCATCAAGGGAACCCTCGGGACTACACTCACACGCTGAAAATATTTTTAAATATAGAATTGTTAGCACTTAAAGAACTTGATATCTCATCATTTCCAAAATTATCAAACATTAAGTTAACAAATACGAAAACTGACAACTGTTAAATAAGAGGGAAAACGTTATCTTTCTTTCTGCCTATTGAACCATACATCCAAGTTTCCAACTTTCAAAACTACTTTCAAAACTAGGTCAGGCTGGACTTTAAAGCCACCCCTCACCTTTACAGCCCTCCAGTGAGAAGCCATACTGGTACGGCAGACATTGGTCACATGTTCTCCCTCCTACGCCTGGTTTACAGCTACACTGGCCAGTCTGAATGTCACAGGTCAAGGCCGTAGAACCCACTGGGTCACACATACACATCTCACAGCCTGAAATATAGGTCACAGTATGGTTATACTACACACTGCTGTCATTTGAATTAGTAATAGATTGCTACAGCTAACAGCTTGAAGACACAGTGCTGCCAAGTACACGGGACATATTTATATCTTCCTGATGCCTTCACTTTATGATTGTATCATAACAATATAAATTTCATGATAAAGTTAAGTAGCTTCTAATATTACAGTAGCGATGAAGATTTAACACTTAAGTGCCTTCCTGTAACAAGGTCCCTACTCTGCACAGTATTTTTTCATTACACTGTGTCAATCTTGTGATTTCATTAGCTTCACAGCTGTTTTTATCATCTACTAGCTTACAACTTTCAGAAATATTCATCTGTCAGTCAACTTTGAAGCAGTTGCCATCACACCCACCATTCCCACTGTCAATGTTATAATATCCGTCCTGACACCTGTCACACTGCCGTCCAGTGACATATGGCAGACATGGACACTGGCCTGTCCTGGCTTCACACAACAGTACACCATCTGGTGCACTGGCTGGTCGTCTTGATCCACGTGGATAACACTGGCAGGCTGAATAAACAACACAGGAGTTTATGACACGTGAAACACGAACATTTTAGTGATATCGTTTGTGAAATCAGCAAGTGGTGTAACTGTCGACTAATTTCTGACAATCTGTCACTGCTTCATTTCTCAAGTTATACCTAGTGCACTTATGTGGCAACTTGAAGAAAAAAACCAGTTTTATCCAAGTTATCGTAATTTTCAGTAACTCAATTCTATAATTTTTCTACCTATCTACTTCTTTATATATACTAATATTTACTATCAAATGGTTTCCTAGCAACTGACCTTTGCAGTCCCCCTTTGGAAGTGCTAGGGCATCCCCGTAGTAGCCAGGCAGACAGCGGTCACAGTAGAACCCTGCTGTGTTGTAGATACACTTCAAACACTCCCCTGTTGTGCTGCAATAGAGAAGAAATTGATAAAGCATGGGAATGAAGCTAAACTGAATTGAACTGCTGAAAAGAAAATAAGGAATATGGTGGGAATGGCAGTAAATGGTAGTTTACATATCAATGCTGATATCTCATCAGTCATCAATTAGAAATCAACCTTTCAAATGCAGCATTCCCAAGATTTAGATATCTTTACCCACCTGTTGCAGTTGGCCACTGCGTTGGGATCAATATTTTCATTACAGCGACATTTCTGGCACTGTGAGGCAGGACCATAGCGACCTGTTGGGTCTCCATAGTATGAGTCTGCACAGTACTCACAGCGGTTGCCTGGGAACAAAGAAATCAGCTTTCATAGTGAACAGAAAAACATCAGTTTTATACTGAAGTAACATCCTTAAAGATATTAAATACATCTTTCACATCTTGAAAGATATGAGCAACTACCTGATTTTCTCAGATTTGACCAAATCTGCTTAAAATACCAAAATCATAAAATTATAATTCAAATGCCTAGGAACCAATGCATAAGGTCTGTGTTACTAGCATTTCCTCAAAATATGATTTGTTACAAATTACATGATGTGATGTCAAATGTAGATTTTCCTATACTGCACCATGCTAACATGTCAGCACCATTAGTTTCTTTAATAACATCAACATAATAAATATATATATAGGACCCTTCAAAAATGCCTTGTCCCGTACCTGCATTCCTGTCAATATGATGAATATTACGTCCATGAATTATTTTATCTAGCTCTGTTTCCATACCTGCATTTATGTCAATATGATGAATATTACATCCGTGTATTTTTTATCTACCTCTGTTTCAATACCTACATTTATGTCAATATGATGAATATTACGTCCATGAATTATTTTATCTAGCTCTGTTTCCACACCTGCATTTATGTCAATATGATGAATATTACGTCCATGAATTATTTTATCTAGCTCTGTTTCCATACCTGCATTTATGTCAATGTGATGAATATTACGTCCATGAATTATTTTATCTAGTCTTGTTCCCTACCTGCGTATCCCTCCCTACAGTTAATACAGGCCACCTCTCCGTTCAGTAACTCCACACAGGAGCCTCCATCTGGACACGGGCAAGGACTGCAATCATTTGGGGTACCGGCCAGTGCGTAACCATAGTAACCAGGTTTACAGACCTCGCAGTTCGTGCCTGCCGTGTTGTGCTGGCAGATACAGCGACCTGATATCATTAAATATAACATCAATATAGTCTAAATTTTACAATTAATTCTTTAATCAAAGGATCAGAAAATGAATAAATTTCCTTAGAAAATGGCCACTGATGGTGCATATGAAGATGACTTGGATAGCCACATAATGTGGACAGAACCCACTGAATGCAAAGTGATAAATCATTAACAGATTCAAGTTTCATTAGAGAAAACTCAAGGGCATTAAGTCTTGGTCATGCAATTCCTTTTTTTTTTCATAATCTTTCATAATCAAAACATACTTTTGTTACATGAAAAATGTAACCATTTTATATACTCTACTCACATGTAATACACACATAAGCTCATGGTTTTCAGCAAGCTACAAACCACAGCCAAACTAGGACATAATCAACAAAGTTCAAATGGCTGTAAATAAGATTTTAAGACCAGATATCAGAGTTGACTGACCTGTGTTGACCTCGCAGGTGTCTGAGTGGTTGTTACAGTTACAGGGGATACAGCGTGCATAGGGTCCACCACCAGGTGGATCCCTGTGGTATCCCGGCTCACAGGATTCGCAAAACTGGCCAACGTATCCCGTGGGACAGGTACACTGCTCTACCCAGGGGGCAGGGTCTCCAAAACTGCCACGCCTCGCTGACACCAGCTTGACATTATCCAGGAATCCAACTCCTAGAAATATCACAGAGAGAAACAGGGGGTTTATACTGGACAGAGGGTAGGGGGGGGCAGTTTGTGTTTGTTCTACAGTATTTTTACTGTCATTTTTATGCAAGTCAGGTTCAAAATTATGGTGTTCATCTTATAGATTTAAAGAAAAAATGAAAAAGTTATTTTAATTTTGATTTGCAAATCAGCACATCAGCACATTTGTGACAGAAAAATATAATTTCCATTACATAACACAAACACTGTGTTCATAGCATTCTAGTCCCTATGCTTTAGAAATACAAGTTTCTTACTCTTAAAAAATTCACTTCACAATAGTTGCAATCACTATTTATCCTAAGAGCTAGTCAATCTCTTACCCTGAGACTGATAGGTGCCTCGTAGTCTCATGGATGTTAAATTAGCCAGCATTCCTCTGAAGTCAAGACTTGTAAGGCGGGGTGTCCACTGGTAACGCGGGTGTTCATGCAGCACAAACCTATACTCCTGGTTGATGTTTCTGGGCAGTGGATTTCCCTGAGCAAAGATTGGCGCTGAGACTGTCTGACCATTGCCCTCTAACACTATGTCCATGATGGAGGCCCGCGCCCCCTCCTCTCCCACGCGGAGATTGAACGACAGCAGCTGGTTGTAGCTGTTACTTTGGTCCCCGGAATACTTGGCTACATAATGAGAAAATATCATATAAAATACCTTCAAGTCCATATCAATCTGTGATAAATTTAAATTTATAATTTTAAAATTTGCTTTTTAACCTTGACACCCAAAAATCCTGGAAAACCAGGATCTAGAAAAACCTTAATATATGCCAAACAGATCATAGATATTAGACTTTATTTAAAACAAAAACAAGTCAGAGTCAGTTGTGGAAACTAGGATGCAGCCCAGCTTGACTGATGCTAGAGCTGATGAGTAGAAAACTCTATATTTCTTGTCAAATATATTACAGGTAACAGACACAAATACAGAAAGACAAGCTAATCCTCACATGGTGCACTGAAATACTGTGCCTGGTTATCTAATGAAGAAATACTGATGTCTTCTAGGATGGCATTGTACTGTATGGGAACATCAAGTCCATCTTTGTCCTTGCCTTCCCAGAAGTCTTTATCTAAAACAAAAAACAAGGCATGGTAAGTTGAGGAAACTAGGATTTCAGTTTAATTGGTAAGGTAAAAGACTCCTAGGTACTGAATATTTTGAACTCTCAGTGCTTTGACCTAATCTGTACTTAATATATTCTGATCTTATATACCACATGCATGTTACATAGTTAATTGTAATAAACCCATCAAAGCTGCAGCAACCACTGTGCTGGAATATAAAGAAATTAGCAAGGGCCACTGCATTTTTGAAACAGGCTTATAGACAATATACTGTATGAATACAACTTTATATACTGTAAAAATACAAAATACAAAATGTCTATTAATATGTTTTTTGAGATAATTCTAGTGATTATGAATAACAAAAGATCATCCATACTAATGTACTTTCTCATGGGTAGTCCCATCCTTCTAACCCCCCCCCCCCCTTTATCAGCACAGGAAGTGCCAAATATGAAACAGCAACGAATACACTATTCATATTTTCCATCATAACTTACCATTTTCAAAGTCTGAAGTGATCTCATATTTTGTAAACTGTCTGGCACTTGAACAAACAGAGGAATGACCATAGCAGAAGCAGCTAATGCAGCCCAGGGGGTTAGCCTCCTGAAGGTTATAATAGCCTGGCTTACACCTGGGGGAGAATAATAGAGGTTAGGATTAACAGGTCTCACATCTTTTAACTTTGTTTCAGAGAAACTGATCACCAGAGGGCAGCACCTGCCCGACACATTGATAGAAATAATAGTCATGTTTGGTAAACATATGGTCAATACTCTGTACAAATTACTACCTGAAAAGAGATATTTGTAGAGCATATTAGACAAATAGCGCAAAAATCTCTTAGTTCTCAACCTTGCAGGGTGTCAGACTGATATCAGTAAAACTGGCCATCTGCGTGTATTGTATGAGATTAGTAAATTCCTTTGATCTATTCCACAGTACACTTGTGATACCATAACTACAGAGTGGAGAGAAATAACAATGTGTATCTCTGATGACCACATGGCTGATAATAACTGCTACTGTTACATCTTGGTATTAAATCAAAATAAAAGCCTACAGTTGTTGATTTCATATCATATTTCATATTTACAATAAATATGATTAATTGTTTTAAGCAACTATAAGGATTAAGAATATTGAATTTTTCAGCTAAACACAGCCAATGTGATCATTACTATGATATAATTACATATAACTAATGATGGTTCTTGTTTTCTATTTATATATGTGTGTGCTTATATTTCTATTTTACCTGTCACAGTTCTGTCCCTCCACAGTTTCTTTACATGTACACATGCCTGTATCAGGAGTACACATGGGTCTGTTGTCTAAACTACCTGCCTCTAGACACTGACACTGTCTGTAGAGAGAGAAAGAGAGAGATATTGTCTTTATCATTGAATTTATATACATTAACACAGTGTGGTGATCACAGCATTGTAATGTCTGGGTTACCTAGAATTACACTAGCATGGCCCAGGAACTAGACAATAGCATGAACTGGGGAAAATGTGTGTGCGCTCAAATTTTCACAGATGAGTACAAATATAATATTCTTGTAAAAAATTCATATTTACATCTATGAGGTTCTTTTAAAATTACATATTCAAATATTCTTTCACAACACTGTTATCATTATTCTTTTCAAAATCGCATGATGACAATAAATGAAAGGCAAAATAAGGCATTCAAGAAGTCTTATCAAAACTTGTCAAAGAAAACAGTTATAAATGGATCTGAGGCTAATGAGGTGTCTTTTCTTACCTGCAGCCAAAGTTGCTGAAGTCATAGTAGTTGGGCAGACACCTGTCGCATTTGTCTCCACCCACACCTGGTTTACAGCGACACCTGCCATCTATAGAACACTGGAGACTCTCGGAGCCTGGAGAGAGAGAGAGAGAGAGGACATAGTGAGAAAGAGAGGAGGTAGTGGTTTTATGCATGTACATTTCCATTACTGATACTGTTTCACCAAAATGGCTAAAATTTGGCTGGGAAATCAGTCCAGTAAGATGCTGTGTATTTAAACTGAGACAACAAATGTCCTTACCGTCTATTTACACTTTCAAAGGAAAAATTGATCCTTCTGCAATTATTTCTTGTTTATACCACTGCTACTAATAGTGTGGACTTGTGGCAGATCTTAGCTCATTTCATTGCTAATTTCACATTTCATTCATGTGAACAAAAAATGGCACACCTTCAATAAAATCTTATTAGACAGATTATTTCTACCCATCACAAATATGGTGTCAGTTTTGGGCATCCTAAAAACATGGACATTTCAGTCCAAACTAACAGAAATTCTGATTTGCAACCATACAAGAGACTCCTGTACTGGGAGGGGGAAATAAACTCTCCATCTGCTTTGAAGTGACTATAATTTTGGCACAATCAAGTCAAGGTTAAGGGTCTTTAACTGTGTTTCTAAAACCACAGAATAAACAGACACAGGTCATAAAATTCAGCTATGTGCACCAAGCAAACAGAACTTTAAGGAGAGATCAATTTCCCTTTTATGACCCAGTTTCATTGACCTAAACAATCACAAATCCCACCCAGTGTATCTTCATTGGCATGCTTTAGTCTTCTGCTCATTCACATTGGTATATATGGTTAGTGATAGGTATATGGTCTTTCATAGGTACATAATTATATATGGTCTGTGAAAGGTATATAAGGTCTTTAATAGGCTAAAGGCAGAAGAGATGCCTTTGTCTATTGTCTGATACAACTGACAGTCTTTGATGTCCAGTGACTGAGCACAGCATCATTGTCACCATGTGATAACAGTGACATAACCAGAAACGAGGTCTATCTATTACAACACTGTATCAGGTAGAGGTGTGCCAGTGTTAACTGCTATTAGATCTTTTTATAAGTAGTCTCTCAGGTCATTTATGCTGCCAATTCACATTCTATGTCTTGGTCGATTTGTTGTGGTGATTTTTTTTTCTTTTTTAATCCTTTTTTCATCTTTCAGATCTGTGGGACTTCTAAATGCACTTAAGTGCCACTTAAGTGAGATAACACATCAGTGTTTTCATCCTTACTTGATATCTTCCTGCTGCTTTCATTAATTTTCTTTCTTAATTTATCATCATTTTATAAGTTGTAGAAAAGTATATAGCAAATCAATAACAGAGTAATCAGAGTTAAAATTCCTAAGAAATAAAAGATGTGTAATTCATAATGGTTCATAGGAATTGCAAGGTAGTAGCTATAATGGTTTTTTTTTTTTTTTTTTTGGGGGGGGGAGTTAAATACCCAGAACACCTTAAAACTGTTACAGCTATTTCACATAAGTGAGATGTACTGACCTATTTCACTGCACTGGCAAGCCTCACATCTGTCCTGGTCTGTTCTGCGGAAGTAGTTCTCCTTGCAGCGTTCACAGTGGGGTCCCGCGGTGTTGTCCTGACAGTCTGTGCAATGGCCGCCTCTCCCAGTCCTCTCGTACAGGTCACGGTCAAAATAACAGCGGTTTGATTTCCCGTTGCAGTCACATCCTAGGGAAGAAACAAAAATTACAGTGACAGTAAAATCAATACTTTTTCAAACTCATCATGTTTTCAAAAAACCTTTTGGTCAAAATTACATTTAATTTGGCTTCTTCAAAGTATCAATCAAGCTATTTGAAGTTTTATCAATTCCTACAAACTGAAATATGTAATCTGTTGTCATATTACATCATAGTTCTCAGACTGCACATACTTTGAAAACAGTAAAACAAAGTTTTGGTATATTAAATTCTGTGATCCAAGTTCAAAACCAACAGAAAGTTTATCAACTGCTTGCAATGTCTGCACTTAGTGTACACAATACTACGCTAAAACACTTGACAACAAGTGCCCTTTTCCATCGAGACCGAGAAGAGAGTACTTACGCTGCCATCTCCCTCCGTCCCAGTACCAGTAAGCATGAACAGATTGATACAAATACAGCATCAGTAATGCAATGACAATGTTCATGATGGACAATGCTACAATGCTACACCCAATCTGCTAACACTCACCACTGTTAATAAACCAACCCCTCTTCAAGGTCAGCTCACAAATTACTGTTTTAAGAACTTACACAGAGATATCCACTCAAAAGGGCGGCATTTCACCAAACATAATGAGGAACATGGATTAACACGATATAAGTCTCATTATCCAAGTTCTTGGCAAAGAAAAGGCTGTCAAGTTGTCTTGATAGATGAATTGTCAATAGACACTCCTTTCTGGAAGTGTTTGAAAACCTCTTTCAAGGCTCTTATCAATGACCATAAAAGCCTCCTTTACTGGGCCATTTTACTCCACATAGCAGGACCAGCCACTCTCTCCACTGTGTGTGGCTCACATAGGATCAAACTAACCTTCTATAATACAGTCTCCTGGCCCTGTGCTTACCAATTGCTATTTAACGTGTATTTTCTATGGAGACACCAATAGCACTACAGCTTTAATTGGTGTGTCATAAAACATTGGTATTGTTTACCTGATCTCGGCCTCCATACAGAGTAAATATCAAATCCATACAGGGCAAATAACAGTATTCCACTAGATACTGAACCATTGACACTGATTGTGCTTTCTTAAGTATCCATTCATTTGTTAAGAATTAATTAAATAAATCTATAAAAGGACTATTTGTGCTCAGATTTGGCAGATATATGTGAATAAATGTGTAAGAAATAGGACAGTTTACTCGTGGTATAAACTTTCAGGAATGATAAGACCTTCAGTTTTGCTACAATCCTAACAATTAAAGATAGGATTACACTGTTTAAGTGACTCATACACAAAGGGAAGATGTTAACTGAACGGGAAATAAACAGTATTTGAAACCTAGACATCAATGGCACATTGACAGTGTTCAGAATGTGGTAGAGGTGACAAATAGTGATTGTGTTTTGTCATGATGTTGAGATTGTCATTGTGGTAGATACTATGAATGTATGAAAGTTTTTTGTAGGGTATGTCATAACAAAATTTCCATCTTGTTACCTACAACCTGAAAACTGGGGGTATATTATATTTCTAAAAGGAAATCAAGTACCTGTAAATTTCAGTNAAAAGTGCACGGCGACGACGACGGCGACGACAGACGCAGATGATGGCTATATGTACAGACACATCTGTGTCTGTAAATAAAAAGCCTACAGTTGTTGATTTCATATCATAATATTTACAATAAATATGATTAATTGTTTTAAGCAACTATAAGGATTAAGAATATTGAATTTTTCAGCTAAACACAGCCAATGTGATCATTACTATCATATAATTACATATAACTAATGATGGTTCTTGTTTTCTATTTATATATGTGTGTGCTTATATTTCTATTTTACCTGTCACAGTTTTGTCCCTCCACTGTTTCTTTACATGTACACATGCCTGTATCAGGAGTACACATAGGTCTGTTGTCTAAACTACCTGCCTCTAGACACTGACACTGTCTGTAGAAAGAAGAAGAGAGAGATATAGTCTTTATCATTGAATTTAAATACATTAACACAGTGTGGTGATCACAGCATTGTAATGTCTGGGTTACCTAGAATTACGGTAATTCTCCAATCTATACGAACGATTAAAATTAATTATTTTTGGAAGATAATCATTTTGTTCGTAAGGCCTGAAATTCAGTCTGCTAAAAATTGCCACGCGTTCGTATCCATTGAAATACGAATGGAATACGGCTGTACCGGAAATTATCTCCACTTACCTACATTGCTAAGTGTAAGCATTAGTTTCAGATTAAATCACTGTGATCAGCTTTTAGCACAAACAAATTATTCTTGCGATATTGTAATGGATTAAAACAAACTAAACAAAAGTCGGGAATTCAAGTTAAGAAACAATTCCTTCATACTAAAGAGGTACATTTCTCCCAAGACAAGACAACATCGTTTTTCCCTGTTATGTTTTACCAAGACAGGACAACATCGTTTTTCCCAACTTCTGTCAAAAACAGACAAGAATATTTGCGTATCCAGTTGCATATTTTATTTAATGCGTATTTACTTTTAATATGATTTCACATATAGAAAATCTGCAATATTAATAATGTCACACACCCCATTAGGCCTACATAAATTTCTTCCGCCAAAACAAAATACTTGAAACTCCTCACAGTAGATATCACTGACGTTAATAGAGATTATACTTGATATGAAAAATAACATCAGCTCAATTCACGTCTATTTATGTAAGTCTTTTACAGCATATTAATTTGCACGCAATCAATGTAAACTTAATTAGAAAAAATACAGAAAACTGCAGGTAAATTTGTATAAAGTCATACGGCACCTTTATTTTTCACAATCACCAATATCAGTAAGGTTTACCTAATAGTTGTTCATGAGACAAGGTCTTTAACAAGGAAAAACAAACAAACAAAAAAGCATGAACTTTATCACAACTCAAATTAGAAAAATAAATACAATACAAGACAGAACTCCTCTTAAAAAAATTAATTTCCTAATGACTACCAAAAACAAAGAAAAACTCGATCATTGACTATGGATTTCTCATACTCTTCTGTTCTGCGTGGGTTTCACGTTTATAGATTTTACTGGAAACCAGTTATCGGTGAAACACCGATGGTGGATGTTGATGATCAGTCGGCCGGCAGAAGTTAAGAAATGATAATAAACAGTAAGTAATTTATGTGTACTGATGCTTTCAATAATTTCTAAATAACAATAGGGTTTTAAAACTGGCCTGCAGCTGCCGGCGGGCAGGTTGAGTCCTTCTATCGTCTCATTCAAAAACAGCACAAATACATGATAACAATCTCTCCTGTCAAGTGGCAGTTCCTTTGTTTGGAACGGTGGTCTGAAAACTCGCTTTGACGAATCATGGGGCGAGTTTCAATTGGGCACACTTTCTTGCGTTCGGAAAATTTAAATTGTGCCCAAGGTGAGTTAAGCGATCGTTCGTACAGAACGGAGACAAAAAATTCAGATTCAGAGAAAAAACGTTTCGTTCGTAATTATTGCGGCGTTCGTATAGATTGGAGAATTACCGTACTCTAGCATGGCCCAGGAACTAGACAATAGCATGAACTGGGGAAAATGTGTGTGCGCTCAAATTTTCACAGATGAGTACAAATATAATATTCTTGTAAAAAATTCATATTTACATCTATGAGGTTCTTTTAAAATTACATATTCAAATATTCTTTCACAACACTGTTATCATTATTCTTTTCAAAATCGCATGATGACAATAAATGAAAGGCAAAATAAGGCATTCAAGAAGTCTTATCAAAACTTGTCAAAGAAAACAGTTATAAATGGATCTGAGGCTAATGAGGTGTCTTTTCTTACCTGCAGCCAAAGTTGCTGAAGTCATAGTAGTTGGGCAGACACCTGTCGCATTTGTCCCCGCCCACACCTGGTTTACAGCGACACCTGCCATCTATAGAACACTGGAGACTCTCCGAGCCTGGAGAGAGAGAGAGAGAGAGGACATAGTGAGAAAGAGAGGAGGTAGTGGTTTTATGCATGTACATTTCCATTACTGATACTGTTTTACCAAAATGGCTAAAATTTGGCTGGGAAATCAGTCCAGTAAGATGCTGTGTATTTAAACTGAGACAACAAATGTCCTTACCGTCTATTTACACTTTCAAAGGAAAAATTGATCCTTCTGCAATTATTTCTTGTTTATACCACTGCTACTAATAGTGTGGACTTGTGGCAGATCTTAGCTCATTTCATTGCTAATTTCACATTTCATTCATGTGAACAAAAAATGGCACACCTTCAATAAAATCTTATTAGACAGATTATTTCTACCCATCACAAATATGGTGTCAGTTTTGGGCATCCTAAAAACATGGACATTTCAGTCCAAACCAACAGAAATTCTGATTTGCAACCATACAAGAGACTCCTGTACTGGGAGGGGGAAATAAACTCTCCATCTGCTGTGAAGTGACTATAATTTTGGCACAATCAAGTCAAGGTTAAGGGTCTTTAACTGTGTTTCTAAAACCACAGAATAAACAGACACAGGTCATAAAATTCAGCTATGTGCACCAAGCAAACAGAACTTTAAGGAGAGATCAATTTCCCTTTTATGACCCAGTTTCATTGACCTAAACAATCACAAATCCCACCCAGTGTATCTTCATTGGCATGCTTTAGTCTTCTGCTCATTCACATTGGTATATATGGTTAGTGATAGGTATATGGTCTTTCATAGGTACATAATTATATATGGTCTGTGATAGGTATATAAGGTCTTTAATAGGCTAAAGGCAGAAGAGATGCCTGTGTCTATTGTCTGACACAACTGACAGTCTTTGATGTCCAGTGACTGAGCAACAGCATCATTGTCACCATGTGATAACAGTGACATAACCAGAAACGAGGTCTATCTATTACAACACTGTATCAGGTAGAGGTGTGCCAGTGTTAACTGCTATTAGATCTTTTTATCAGTAGTCTCTCAGGTCATTAATGCTGCCAATTCACATTCTATGTCTTGGTCGATTTGTTGTGGTGATTTTTTTTTCTTTTTTAATCCTTTTTTCATCTTTCAGATCTGTGGGATTTCTAAATGCACCGTTAAGTGCCACTTAAGTGAGATAACACATCAGTGTTTTCATCCTTACTTGATATCTTCCTGCTGCTTTCATTAATTTTCTGTCTTAATTTATCATCATTTTAAAAGTTGTAGAAAAGTATATAGCAAATCAATAATAGAGTAATCAGAGTTAAAATTCCTAAGAAATAAAAGATGTGTAATTCATAATGGTTCATAGGAATTGCAAGGAAGGAGATATAATGGGGTTTGGGGGGGGGGGGGGGTGTTAAATACCCAGAACACCTTAAAACTGTTACAGCTATTTCACATCAGTGGGATCTGCTGACCTATTTCACTGCACTGGCAAGCCTCACATCTGTCCTGGTCTGTTCTGCGGAAGTAGTTCTCCTTGCAGCGTTCACAGTGGGGTCCCGCGGTGTTGTCCTGACAGTCTGTGCAATGGCCGCCTCTCCCGGTCCTCTCATACAGGTCACGGTCAAAATAACAGCGGTTTGATTTCCCGTTGCATTCACATCCTAGGAAAAAAAATTACAGTGACAGTAAAATCAATACTTTATAAAACTAATGTTAAAAAACCTTTTGGTCAAATAGCAAATATTCACCATTAAATTTGGCTTTTTCAAAGTATCAACAAAGCTTTTTGAAGTTTTATAAAATCTTACAAACATGAATATGTAATCAGTTGTCAAATCACATCATAGTTAGCAGACTGCATATATTTTCAAAACAATAAAACAAGGTTTTGGTATATTAAACTCTGTGATCCAAGTCTCTAAAACCAACAGAAACTGCTTGCAATGTATGCACTTAGTGTATGCATTTCTATGCTAAAACACTTGACAACAAGTGCCCTTTTTCATCGAGACCAAGAAGAGAGTACTTACGCTGCCATCTCCCTCCGTCCCAGTACCAGTAAGCATGAACAGATTGATACAAATACAGCATCAGTAATGCAATAACAATGTTCATGATGGACGATGTTACACTGCTACACCCAATCTGCTAACACTCACCACTGTTAATAAACCAACCCCTCTTCAAGGTCAGCTCACAAATTACTGTTTTAAGAACTTACATAGAGATATCCACTCAAAGGACCACATTTCACCAAACATAATAAGGAACATGGATTAACACGATATAAGTCTCATTATCCAAGTTCTTGGCAAAGAAAAGGCTGTCAAGTTGTCTTGATAGATGAATTGTCAATAGACACTCCTTTCTGGAAGTGTTTGAAAACCTCTTTCAAGGCTCTTATCAATGACCATAAAAGCCTCCTTTACTGGGCCATTTTACTCCACATAGCAGGACCAGCCACTCTCTCCACTGTGTGTGGCTCACATAGGATCAAACTAACCCTCTATAATACAGTCTCCTGGCCCTGTGCTTACTAATTGCTATTTAACATGTATTTTCTATGGAGACACCAATAGCACTACAGCTTTAATTGGCGTGTCATAAAACATTGGTATTGTATACCTGATCTTGGCCTCCATACAGAGTAAATATCAAATCCATACAGGGCAAATAACAGTATTCCACTAGATACTGAACCATTGACACTGATTGTGCTTTCTTAAGTATCCATTCATTTGTTAAGAATTAATTAAATAAATCTATAAAAGGACTATTTGTGCTCAGATTTGGCAGATATATGTGAATAAATGTGTAAGAAATAGGACAGTTTACTCGTGGTATAAACTTTCAGGAATGACAAGTTCTTCAGTTTTGCTACAATCCTAACAATTAAAGATAGGATTACACTGTTTAAGTGACTCATACACAAAGGGAAGATGTTAACTGAACGGGAAATAAACAGTATTTGAAACCTAGACATCAATGGCACATTGACAGTGTTCAGAATGTGGTAGAGGTGACAAATAGTGATTGTGTTTTGTCATGATGTTGAGATTGTCATTGTGGTAGATACTATGAATGTATGAAAGTTTTTTGTAGGCTATGTCATAACAAAATTTCCATCTTGTTACCTACAACTTGAAAACTGGGGGTATATTATATTTCTAAAAGGAAATCAAGTACTTGTTAATTTCAATACAATTGCATACAAAGTTCACTGATACACCGTCAGCCCAAAATCTACATACAAAACATTTTCTAGTTCTCTAAAATGAAATCACATCTCTCAATGAAACTGTAGAACCTTACTTAATTTTTAAGTTTAAATCTGTTTATCTTACTTTTGCATTCCCTGGCATCATCGGCGGTGGCTCTCCCCCAGGGAGCATCATGGAACCCAGAGGCACACTCCTCGCAGTCAGAGCCCGCTGTATTGTGCTCACACAGACACACGGGGACCTCACCTGCTCCGTTACTAGGCACACACTTACTGGCGTGACCGTTACACTTACACCTGGAAGATAAGAACACAAATATTATCATACTATCTCATGAAAACATAAGGCTCAGTCCCAAGAAATTTAGCTCATCTAAAGAACATAGCATCTCATTCAATCCCCTTATTACTAGTTCTGGCAATATAATGTTAATCTAATATGCAATAAGTGCCACTAGCACACTATGTTTCGGCTAGCTATGTCCCTTTATATTGGGTTCCTATGGACAGAAATTATAAGATCACAGTCTGATCAGATACTTGTACACTTTGTATGCTATACATGTGTGATGTGGTCTTTCCAATTATACATAAAGTATACCCCTTACTAATGATACCAATACTGGCAACTGAAAACACAGCTCCAAGCTATCAAATCTTGATCTCAGACTGTTTAAACCCCAAAATATGCATATATCAGATATTACAAGGGCAGACCTATCAGGATATAAAATGTATAACATTTAGACCCGTGTAATGTGTAAGACAAAGTTGATGAACAACTACCATGATCAAGTTTTGTAGCATCTTGAAATCTTTCAGACATGTTGATTTGTAAGTGGTGCAAAAAAGATGGACAATCTGTAACCCATCACCACCAACCTCACAGAGGTGAACACAAGCATCCATGATCTTTTTCATTCTAAGGAACACTTGGTGGGCAGAAAGAAAACTCAACTCCAGGTCACCCATTGGCATTCCAAACTGACCAGAAGTTCACATATATTTATGTGGTATCCTAGCAACCCAGATGGTCTCCCATATGGCAGAGTAAGGCAGTGTATTCAGGGCCATTTGTTGGTCCTGGAGAATAACAACATGCATTCCTTCTACTCATTCACTGGGGTAGGGATAATAATGTCAATGTGTGAGATTGTTACGGGTATGGTAATTTCTCTCTAAATTCAAACAAAATCAATTCATCACATTTCTCAAAATGATACCATCAGTGTAAAACGTGTAGTATAATTCAAAAAGTATTATAGGAGAGGTTTTTTTTTTAATCACTGTAAGTGATAAGTATTGACAAAAAAAAAAAAAACATCCTGGTAAAATTTGAGTGCTTCAAATATTTTGCAAAAGAGCTAATAAATTGTTGATAAATGACTTTTTCTACACTCCCTGAGTGGGAGCTTGACCCTCTTCTCCTGAACCAAAGGTTCACAATCACTCAAGTCAAAACATTTGATGGCATATTTAAGGGAAGATTTATTGTTCTCATTGATGGGGAAGTTAACAGGGCACGTGGCTGACCTGACACATGTTGCCCCATTTCAAAACCAGTCACATTTTATATTAAAAACATTTTAATTTTCAAAAGGAAACTTTTGCATCAATATAGGTTTAGGACACACAGATTCCTTGGTCATCATTTGTAATGAAATTTGAAGCAAGTTATTTGCCCTTTAACTCAAAGAAAAATGGAAAAAGAAACATTGTGTAATTTAGATATCATGTCAACACATTCCCTCATCTGAAAGACACAGACAACCCTGACATAATACCAAAAATGTATACCAAATAATAAAGATTTGTCTGTAAGAACACAATACTAAGCCACCAGTCACTTGAACATGAATGCTTGCACCTATTTATGTAGGGTATCATTACTCCCTAAACGACCATGATAATCAGTCTACTGCCCACACTGCTCTATTTACACTCCTTCCCCCAGGGATATACAGCTATCTTGTCCATCTTCTCAATCATCACATTTTACTTGTCATCCTCTCAACTCTGCCTTATAATAGACATGGTTTGGAACTGCCTGTATTACATAACTGACATGAACAGCTCTTCCTCCTAGTTATACATATGGCAAGATCACGGGTATAATTTTTCCTTAACACCTGTTATAAAAGTGATGGACCTGGTATTGTATAACATTTCAGCCTGAATCTAGCTATAATTTCTATCATAATCAAGTCTGCAGCAGTTCATTATTTTTAGGCTATGATTATACAGGTAGAGACCACAGTGTTCACAATGGGTAATTATCACATCTTGAAGCAGTACAGCTGTGATACAAGCAGACCATAGAGTAACCCCACCCATTTAATTACTGGACTGGGATCTGTACTGACCTTCACTGTCCACAATCACTGACCATCTCAACAACCACAATGACCACAACTTATCTTCAAGATGAAACTCTAGCCATTTTTTCTTCCCATCCCTTAATAAAGCCATTTTACATGTCACTGTACTTCATAATTATTGCCTTGCTTATGGAAACTCAATTTTTCCAAAAGTGCATTATTTTATTAACAATGACTCATAATATAATTTAGAACTTCCTATTTCTCTCCCATTATATCAATTTCAAACTTTTTGTACTCCAACAGGTTTCCAGTTCTCAAAACACGACTCCAGCTACAACACAAACCCAGTTTTTTCTTGTTCATTACATCAATCTTGGAAGTGAGTTTCACAACAATGCTGCTCTAGTTACTACAGCACAGGGAAACTTCATGCTTCAACAACACAGCAAATAAACAATCCAGGAGACCTAGAGTAACTGTAAAACAGTTTGTGTTCTTTTTATGTGGGTCTATAAGAAAACAAAACTATGAAAACATAAAAGGTATGTTTGTCTTCACAGGGCAGATTACCTCCTGTCTAATGGTAAGGTTATAACCAGATACCATCTACTTCTACAACATGGAGCAAATACCATTACAAGACACACTAAAAATCCATTTCACATTGGATTGCACCTATAACTGCAAGATATGGAACAGAGACGAATACATTTGCATTTCAACAGAACTAATCTTCAACCATGTATTAAGTGTTACAGTACTGTAGTAAAAGTACTAGTCTGGACTGCATTACCTCTGGCAGAGACAATGTCTGTAAACACAAGGAAGAGGGAGATGACATAATGTTGATTACATGTAAACTTAGTCTATACATCTAATTATAACTTAATAAAGAAATGTAAAATTATTAAATTACTTATTTGTCTCTCATTATTACACAACAATTCCCACTTCCATTTCCAATGGTAATCCATCTTTACATCTGAAGAAAAACCAACGCTGCCAAATAAAGACCCATATCATCCGTGTTGGAGTCCATGTTGATATTTGACAGTCACCTTCTGCCCTGTAATTTGCTGCAATTTCCAGTGAACTGCTGACCCATCAAAGTGGCACAACACCACTTTCTACTTACATCAAAGCTTTACAACAACCCATATGGTCCAGTTTTTTACTGAAACCTTTTTTGTATGACCATTATCTGGATGAAAGGTGTATATAATTGTCCACCCAGTGTTATTTTCTGGAATAAAACTGGTTGTTAACCCCATCAGATAAACATGGTTAGTTCAAGCAACACCTGCAAAGCCTTTTTTTTTTCTTTTGTCATTCAAAAGCTACCAGTTCATAAGTGTCAAAGGACTGACATTACACGTAGTTTATTTCTACTAAATTCTGACCTAGAATTTTCATTTCTATTTCAACTTTTATTGGTAAATTTTCAAAATCCCGAACTATTTTCTTCCTCTTTTTTAAAACAACTGAGAAAACATCTCTGTCATACTTGCAAATATTACATTTATTTATTAATTATTTATAATTATTCATTTATCTCTTTCTTTCTTAACATATTATATATTTTTTTATTTATTATATTTTTGTGTGTGTATATAAGTTACTTCCTTGCCATATATAATTTCCTGCTCCAGAGAGGGATTTCCTTCCAGTCACTTTTGCCCTGACTACATAACTTTACCCCCGTCTTCCACCATGAGCCCCCTGTCATGGATATTTATACATGTTAACTGCCAGAAAAGAATGTCCGGCTATTGTTCTGGTATGTTCAGTATGTCAGTACAATGTAGAGAAGATGAATCAAGTCTCTAGCAATCCTACTGTAGTACACTACTCAATAGTAGAACCCAACACCTGTCTTCCACATAGAAATACAAAACTACTACATCCTAGCCTATAATTTTACCCCCATTTTGTCCCAAGGTTGGAGAATGGCTGTAGTTTTATCTGGATTTCATTCATAGCAAACTCCACAATATGAAAGGATGCACCTACAAAGACATTTGTCTACCTGGTGGGCATTTTGACTGGGGTAAACTTACGCAACATTAAATATGAACAACAAACCATAAAGAAACTGAGAAGTAAAATTATGGCCTCACAGAGGAACAGTGTGTAAAACGAACTTGTTGATTTTCCAGCAAAGAGGGGTGTATGCTTAAATTCCCCAGATACAGGGACAGGAAGAAAAATATCTTTGCTTCTCTCAAAAGCTGCACAATCTGGTACAGGTAGGAGTTCATTAAGTTCCACGCTGCCCCCCCCCCCT